TTTTTCAAAATCTGATTTCGCTTTTGTTCTTTGTTCTGTATTAAAATCAATATATGGTTTTAGCCATGCTTCTTCTTTAAAAGAGATTGTTCTATGAATTTTTGTCACTTTCATTCCTAGAGATTCATAATATTTTAATAATTTATGATGAATAACATATTTCTCTTTATCTTTTAGATTTAAAATTAATTTCTCTGTTTTACCAATTGTTTTATTTTCTATTTTCTGTTTTAAATGAATTCATACAATTTATACAAACATTACTTTTATGTCTAGATTTATCACATAGAAAAGAATTAAGATCTTTAATTAAACAATAATGAGCATTCTCATCTTCTTCTAAATATAATAAATAAATAGTTGTTTCTCTGTTTTTTTCTATTGAAGTATATATTGGATAAAGAGAAAATTTATCAGATGGATTACTTAAAGCAACAACATTAATACTAAGATTTGGATTCTGTTTTTCAAACTTTGGAATATCTTTTATATTTACAGGATAGTCGATTTGACTCATATTTAAAGTATTTTCAAATTCTCGATATTTTGATACTCTTTCTTTGTTATCATCTGCTGGATGAAGTTTAGCCAGAATTGACCATAAAAAACATTTATTATCTTTAGTGTTTTTAACATTAATAATATTTGAACTTTTTAAAGGAGTTGGAATATAAGATGATGCTCTGAAAAATTGAGTTTTATATGTTTTTATTACTGTTTTTATTATATGATTGAATACATGTCCACTACCAAGTTCTTGATATTCATCTACCCATGTTTCAAAATGATCTTTAATTGAATTAAATTTTGTATCAAAATCATTCATAGTTCTTATAATTTTATTCTCTCCTTGATAATATACATCAATAACTTGAAAAGCTAATGCAGTTAAAAACTCACAAGTTATAATTTGTTTAAATTTAATAGGTTTTTCAGTTTCATTTATTATTTCTCTTACTCTATCTCTAATTAGATTAAAATATATGTCTATATTATTTTCTTGAATATCATCAGTTGTATATTCATTGATAATATTTTGAAAGGTTTTTTTTATTATTCATTTTTTTTCAAAATATTTTTATTATACTTTTTTTCATTCTTTTATAATTTTTGAAATAATCAGTATTTTCAATCATAAAATCTTGGTATGCTTGTTTATATTTGTCTTTATTTTCTTGATAATGTTGTAGTTTATATGGTTTATTACATTTCTTACAACTTGATCTCAATCCATACTTTCCTGTTTTATCTTTTGCAAAACAACTGAAAGGTTTAATTTCATAACACATTGAACAGGGTTTCTGCAATTCATTGGTATCCATTTTTATATATGTATTTTAGATATATATTTTAATTATTATTATTATTTTATATTATTTATTATTATTATATTTTAATTTGCTCTATTTCAAATTCATCATTGCAAAAATATCATTTCGGGGATTGTCGACTGTGTTTGGTGTGTTTATTGTAAGTCGGAATTATTATATATTATAATGATGGATACCTCTAGATAATTCAAATGAATATAATGTGACTAACAGACTCTATTTTTTTTATTTTTTTAAATAAAAAAAGATCGTAGGGTAGGATAACCTTTTTTTTTAAAGTGAATATGATTATATGAAAGACCGGCAGAAAAAGACCGGCAGAAAAAAAAGACCGGCAAAGAAAAACCGGAAGTGAGCTAGACTCGCATATAGTGATAACTACTTTCCTTGAGGTTTGCCCATCATGACTGGACATTACAATTGTTGTATGAGCGCTTCAACTCTATTGTTATTTGTCCCATGTCCATTATTCTTGTGAGGGGTGGGAGAAGACGATGTGACACCACTTAAATGTGTCAAAAGTTAGTGCTTTACAACCAACAATTTGTAGTGTGTATGTGTGCTCACACATTTTAGCGATCTAGACCTTTGTTTGATAAAGCAGAAGAAAATTTGTCTAGTTTTGTTAATGTTAATAATGTTTGTCATTCTTTCTACTTGCTTTCCTTTGCCGCCTGTTCCAGGCTTTATAAATACACACACAAACTAGGCTATATCTATACTATAAATCACAAACCCTTTTTATATTGTGTCTTCATTCAAAATGAAGTGTTAACTCCTTTGAAACCATGACCACTACACAAGTTTTCTTTTCAATTGGCATTATGGCCACAGTCTTTAACAGTAACATATGTGAATATATATAGGCTGTCGCACCCTCGACAAATTGAATCCATCCGTGCCTCTTTCCATTTGTATTAGTGCATACTTGCTGGCTGGTTAAATTGTAGTCAATCACATGTCACGACTCAGGCAAGTCAGAGAGTAGTTGATCATTTGTCACTACACAGACAAGTCAGAGTGTATTCGATTACCTAACACGACTAAGACAAGTGATTACATGTCACCACACAGACCAGTTAGGTCCATCACATTTCACCGCTCAGACCAGTCATAGAGTAGTCGATCACATGTCACCAGTCATAGAGTAGTCTATCACATGTCACCAGTCATAGAGTAGTCGATCACATGTCACCAGTCATAGAGTAGTCGATCACATGTCACCAGTCATAGAGTAGTCGATCACATGTCACCACTCAGACCAGTCATAGAGTAGTCTAGTCGATCACATGTCACCAGCCATAGAGTAGTCGATCACATGTCACCACTCAGACCAGTCATAGAGTAGTCTAGTCGATCACATGTCACCAGCCATAGAGTAGTAGATCACATTTCATCGCTCAGACCAGTCATAGAGTAGTCTAGTTGATCACATTTCACCGCTCAGACCAGTCATAGAGTAGTTGATCACATTTCACCGCTCAGACCAGTCATAGAGTAGTCGATCACATTTCACCGCTCAGACCAGTCATAGAGTAGTCGATCACATGTCACCACTCGGACCAGTCATAGAGTAGTCGATCACATGTCACCAGTCATAGAGTAGTCGATCACATTTCACCGCTCACACCAGTCATAGAGTAGTCGATCACATTTCACCGCTCAGACCAGTCATAGTCGATCGCATTTCACCGCTCAGACCAGTCATAGAGTAGTCGATCACATTTCACCGCTGAGACCAGTCATAGAGTAGTCTAGTTGATCACATTTCACCGCTCAGGCCAGTCATAGAGTAGTTGATCACATTTCACCGCTCAGACCAGTCATAGAGTAGTCTAGTTGATCACATTTCACCGCTCAGACCAGTCATAGAGTAGTTGATCACATTTCACCGCTCAGACCAGTCATAGAGTAGTTGATCACATTTCACCGCTCAGACCAGTCATAGAGTAGTCTAGTTGATCACATTTCACCGCTCAGACCAGTCATAGAGTAGTTGATCACATTTCACCGCTCAGACCAGTCATAGAGTAGTTGATCACATTTCACCGCTCAGACCAGTCATAGAGTAGTTGATCACATTTCACCGCTCAGGCCAGTCATAGAGTAGTTGATCACATTTCACCGCTCAGACCAGTCATAGAGTAGTTGATCACATTTCACCGCTCAGACCAGTCATAGAGTAGTCTAGTTGATAACATTTCACCGCTCAGACCAGTCATAGAGTAGTCTAGTTGATCACATTTCACCGCTCAGACCAGTCATAGAGTAGTTGATCACATTTCACCGCTCAGACCAGTCATAGAGTAGTCTAGTTGATTACATTTCACCGCTCAGACCAGTCATAGAGTAGTCTAGTTGATCACATTTCACAGCTCAGACCAGTCATAGAGTAGTCGATCACATTTCACCCTCAGAACAGTCATAGAGTAGTCGATCACATGTCACCAGTCATAGAGTTGTTTTTAGGAATGAATGGAGATTTTATGATGGTTGTAAATGTAGACGTTTTCTGATTGTACTTTTGTTACAGACAGGTATAAAGGGGCCAGTCTGATGCTGTGGACAGGTGGAGATAGGGATTTGTTTGACTGACTTGCTATGGCGACTGGATGAACATTGGTATTTGGATGAGGTGATCAACCCCAATTCCCCCCCCCCCCTTTTTTTTTTTTACCCCTTCCCCCAAAGGAAGCAGCTTAGTGCGAAATAATTAAAATTCTGTGCTCCTTTCTATAGGACAAGCATTGTCATCAGATAGTAATATCATAAAAATTTCAGTAATAACATCATACATCTTCAGTCTACTTGTTTTTCTGACCTGAATAAAGTTGAACAAGCCTGGGACCTGTTCAGTATTATGTCAGTATACAGAGTGACAGAATATGCGTGTGTGTGTGTAAAAACATTGCTTCTCTGTTTCTTGGTGCCTGTCTCTTCAATCTATTTCTCCTGTCCCCAGTGCCTGCCAGTGGAAAAAACGTCTGTCTTTCTTGGCACCAGAGTTTGGAGACTTGCAGTCAGTCTTGGATGCTGCCAAAGTTGCTGATGTGGTATTGTTTCTGTTTGGAGAATATGGAATAGATACATATGGAGATCACTGTTTGACATGTATCCTGGGTCAAGGTCTTCCAGCTCATGTGTTTGCCTGCCAGGTAAGCTATGTTTTTAGTCACTATAGCCAACCTGCTCATGTTTATCTGTCAGGTAAGCTGTGTTTGTATCTGTGATCAGTTGTAGTTTATACACAACAAACATCTGTGGTCAGTTGTAGACTGTACACAACATACATCTGTGATCAGTTGTAACCTGCTGGGCTAGTATAAAATATGATTGGGTGAGAACTTTTGCTAGCTTAGTTATTGCTTGCTCTCTGCTACTGTTTTTCTGTAGCACAGCTCTCTTCTTTGTTGCGTATGTTGATGTCACACCCAGGTTCGTCTTTAGGTTTGCTACAGGGGTAGTCGATTGGAAGATTATTAACTAGAAGAAAGATGGTCGTGTCGACCTCCTGACAAACAAGTGATGTCACTATTTAGTTTTGGCGGGAAAAGTAGGTTACCAAAACTTGTTGATCTTGGTACATCCCAGCTCTGCGCCATATACTACCTCCTAACAAACAAGTAATGAGGTTTCCCTGTTACATTTCTTTACATTGTTTTGTTTCAGGGGCTGTCACATTTGAGCAAAACCAAGATGCTAAATGCAAGAAAAGCCATTGACAAGCAAATGGAGAAAAGGTGAGCACAGAAACCAAACTTGCAGCATGTTGTGGTACAACTAGTTCTGTGTTCACTACTGTAATCATGTCTGTGTTCACTACTGTAATCATGTCTGTGTTCACTACTGTAATCATGTCTGTGTTCACTACTGTAATCATGTCTGTGTTCACTACTGTAATCATGTCTGTGTTCACTACTGTAATCATGTCTGTGTTCACTACTGTAATCATGTCTGTGTTCACTACTGTAATCATGTCTGTGTTCACTACTGTAATCATGTCTGTGTTCACTACTGTAATCATGTCTGTGTTCACTACTGTAAACATGTCTGTGTTCACTACTGTAATCATGTCTGTGTTCACTACTGTAATCATGTCTGTGTTCACTACTGTAGTTCTATGGTTTTATGCTCACATTGGTCTTATGTTGTTTTGGCAGATTTCCTGGACATAAAGTTCGTAGCCTTGATACCTGGCAGGATTCCCAAGCTGTTTGGAGGCATTTGGCTAATTTGGCTCAACAAAAAGTGCACTATCGTGACTGTCGGCCATACCTGCTGGCTGAAAATGTGGAGTTTGTAACAGACACGCTTGATCAGGTGCGTTATCTGTTGCCCATCTGCACTGTGCTTCTAATGTTGTAAAATAAATTAGTAAATAGAAAGACGTTTAGCCATTAAAGCAGTATTAGGAAATTGAAGCACAGATGCTGTTTTGTGTTGAGAAACATTAAACCATGTGAAATGTGACGAACAAGAGCAGTGTCCTGTTTCTGCAGCAAAGATCTGTGTCTAGTCACAGGTATTAATTACCTTCGCATACATAAACTCAGATGTCTGTGCCTTATGTTCTATTTCTTATTGTTGACTTCTCACCTGCAGCCATCATTGGGCACTCTTAAAGTCAGCGGTTATCTCAGGGGGCAGGATTTGGATGTGAATCAGCTAGTGCATGTGCCCGGATGGGGAGATTTCCAGATGTCCCAGATTGATGAAACCTGTGACCCTTACCCGCTTGTTGTCAGGGGCAACCAGGATAGAAGGCAGAACCATGGCAAGTTGGTTGATGCAGAAATGACAGAGGTGAGTGTACAGTCAACTTGTTGGTTGTTGAGAGAGGTGAGTGTACAGTAAACTTGTTGGTTGTTGAGAGAGGTGAGTATATAGTAAACTTGTTTTTAAGAGAGGTGATTGTACAGTAAAATTGTTGAAAGAGGTGTTTGTACAGTAAACTTGTTAAGGGAGGTGATCGAACATTAAACTTGTTGGTTGTTGAAAGTTGAATGTACAGTAAACTTGTTGGTTGTTGAGGGAGTTGAATATACGGTAAACTTTTTGAGAGAGGTGAGTGTACAGTAAACTTGTTGAGAGAGGTAAGTGAACAGTGATCTCGTTGGTTGTTGAGAGAGTCCATTGTATAGTAATCTTGTTGTTGAGAGGTGATTGTTCAGTAAATTTTTTGGTTGTTAAAGAGAGTTGAGTGTTTGTAGACTTGTTGATTATTTAGAGATGTGAGTGCATGGTAAACTTGTTGGTTGTTGGGAAACGTAAGTATACAGTCAAGTTGTTGATTGTTGAGAGGAGCTGAGTGTGCAGTAAACTTGTTGAGAGAGATGAGTGTACAGTAAACTTGTTTAGAGAGATGAGTGTACACTACATCTGTGGTGAGTGTATAGTAAACTTGTTGAGAGAGATGAGTGTACAGTAAACTTGTTTAGAGAGATGTGTGTACACTACATCTGTGGTGAGTGTATAGTAAACTTGTTTAGAGAGATGAGTGTACACTACATCTGTGGTGAGTGTATAGTAAACTTGTTGAGAGAGATGAATATACACTACATCTGTGGTGAGTGTATAGTAAACTTGTTGAGAGAGATGAGTATACACTACATCTGTGGTGAGTGTATAGTAAACTTCTTGAGAGAGATGAGTGTACACTACATCTGTGGTGAGTGTATAGTAAACTTGTTGAGAGAGATGAGTGTACACTACATCTGTGGTGAGTGTATAGTAAACTTGTTGAGAGAGATGAGTGTACACTACATCTGTGGTGAGTGTATACTACATCTGTGGTGAGTGTATAGTAAACTTGTTGAGAGAGATGAGTGTACACTACATCTGTGGTGAGTGTATACTACATATGTGGTGAGTGTATACTACATCTGTGGTGAGTGTATAGTAAACTTGTTGAAAGAGATGAGTGTACACTACATCTGTGGTGAGTGTATAGTAAACTTGTTAAGAGAGGTGAGTGTACAGTAAACTTGTTGAGAGAGGTGAGTGTACACTACATCTGTGGTGAGTGTATAGTAAACTTGTTGAGAGAGATGAGTGTACACTACATCTGTGGTGAGTGTATAGTAAACTTGTTGAGAGAGATGAGTATACACTACATCTGTGGTGAGTGTATAGTAAACTTGTTGAGAGAGATGAGTATACACTACATCTGTGGTGAGTGTATAGTAAACTTGTTGAGAGAGATGAGTGTACACTACATCTGTGGTGAGTGTATAGTAAACTTGTTGAGAGAGATGAGTATACACTACATCTGTGGTGAGTGTATAGTAAACTTGTTGAGAGAGATGAGTGTATACTACATCTGTGGTGAGTGTATAGTAAACTTGTTGAGAGAGATGAGTATACACTACATCTGTGGTGAGTGTATAGTAAACTTGTTGAGAGAGGTGAGTGTACAGTAAACTTGTTGAGAGAGGTGAGTGTACAGTAAACTTGTTGAGAGAGGTGAGTGTACACTACATCTGTGGTGAGTGTATAGTAAACTTGTTGAGAGAGATGAGTGTACACTACATCTGTGGTGAGTGTATAGTAAACTTGTTGAGAGAGATGAGTGTACACTACATCTGTGGTGAGTGTATAGTAAACTTGTTGAGAGATATGAGTGTATAGTAAACTTGTTGAGAGAGATGAGTGTATAGTAAACTTGTTAAGAGAGATGAGTGTATAGTAAACTTGTTGAGAGATATGAGTGTATAGTAAACTTGTTGAGAGATATGAGTGTATAGTAAACTTGTTGAGAGATATGAGTGTATAGTAAACTTGTTGAGAGATATGAGTGTATAGTAAACTTGTTGAGAGATATGAGTGTATAGTAAACTTGTTGAGAGAGATGAGTGTATACTACATCTGTGGTGAGTGTATAGTAAACTTGTTAAGAGAGATGAGTGTATAGTAAACTTGTTGAGAGATATGAGTGTATAGTAAACTTGTTGAGAGAGATGAGTGTATAGTAAACTTGTTGAGAGATATGAGTGTATAGTAAACTTGTTGAGAGAGATGAGTGTACACTACATCTGTGGTGAGTGTATAGTAAACTAGTTGAGAGAGGTGAGTGTACACTACATCTGTGGTGAGTGTATAGTAAACATGTTGAGAGAGATGAGTGTATACTACATCTGTGGTGAGTGTATAGTAAACTTGTTGAGAGATATGAGTGTATAGTAAACTTGTTGAGAGATATGAGTGTATAGTAAACTTGTTGAGAGAGATGAGTGTATAGTAAACTTGTTGAGAGATATGAGTGTATAGTAAACTTGTTGAGAGATATGAGTGTATAGTAAACTTGTTGAGAGATATGAGTGTATAGTAAACTTGTTGAGAGAGATGAGTGTATAGTAAACTTGTTGAGAGAGATGAGTGTATAGTAAACTTGTTGAGAGATATGAGTGTATAGTAAACTTGTTAAGAGAGATGAGTGTATAGTAAACTTGTTGAGAGAGATGAGTGTATAGTAAACTTGTTAAGAGAGATGAGTGTATAGTAAACTTGTTGAGAGATATGAGTGTATAGTAAACTTGTTGAGAGATATGAGTGTATAGTAAACTTGTTGAGAGATATGAGTGTATAGTAAACTTGTTGAGAGATATGAGTGTATAGTAAACTTGTTGAGAGATATGAGTGTATAGTAAACTTGTTGAGAGAGATGAGTGTATAGTAAACTTGTTGAGAGAGATGAGTGTATACTACATCTGTGGTGAGTGTATAGTAAACTTGTTGAGAGAGATGAGTGTATACTACATCTGTGGTGAGTGTATAGTAAACATGTTGAGAGAGATGAGTATACACTACATCTGTGGTGAGTGTATAGTAAACTTGTTGAGAGAGATGAGTGTATAGTAAACTTGTTGAGAGAGATGAGTGTATAGTAAACTTGTTGAGAGATATGAGTGTATAGTAAACTTGTTGAGAGAGATGAGTGTATAGTAAACCTGTTGAGAGATATGAGTGTATAGTAAACTTGTTGAGAGATATGAGTGTATAGTAAACTTGTTGAGAGATATGAGTATATAGTAAACTTGTTGAGAGAGATGAGTGTATACTACATCTGTGGTGAGTGTATAGTAAACTTGTTGAGAGAGATGAGTGTATACTACATCTGTGGTGAGTGTATAGTAAACATGTTGAGAGAGATGAGTATACACTACATCTGTGGTGAGTGTATAGTAAACTTGTTGAGAGAGATGAGTGTATAGTAAACTTGTTGAGAGAGATGAGTGTACACTACATCTGTGGTGAGTGTATAGTAAACTTGTTGAGAGAGATGAGTGTATACTACATCTGTGGTGAGTGTATAGTAAACTTGTTGAGAGAGATGAGTGTATACTACATCTGTGGTGAGTATATAGTAAACCTGTTGAGAGAGATGAGTGTATACTACATCTGTGGTGAGTGTATAGTAAACTTGTTGAGAGAGATGAGTGTATAGTAAACTTGTTGAGAGAGATGAGTATATACTACATCTGTGGTGAGTGTATAGTAAACTTGTTGAGAGAGGTGAGTATACACTACATTTGTGGTGAGTGTATAGTAAACTTGTTGAGAGAGATGAGTATATACTACATCTGTGGTGAGTGTGCAGTAAACTTGTTAAGAGAGATAAGTGTACACTACATCTGTGGTGAGTGTGCAGTAAACTTGTTGAGAGAGATGAGTATATACTACATCTGTGGTGAGTGTGCAGTAAACTTGTTGAGAGAGATAAGTATACACTACATCTGTGGTGAGTGTATAGTAAACAGCTATAATTTTTTTAACTTGACAGGTGAAATCAACTAGTTTTGTCATTGCAAAAGCAACAAATCCGGAATCTCTTCAGTCAGAAGTGCCTCTCGATTCGATGGATGAAGAGCAAACCTGGCCATCAGCAGACGAGCTAGCAGATAACAAATGTGAGTCATACCTGAGAAGCTGAGAAATGTCTCCTCATACCTCATGTCTGTGGATGTGTACTCTCTTGTTTTCTGTGGTAATGTTCGGGACAGAAATTACCTAGAAAAAGTTGTTACAACTGGCACACTTAATGAGAAATGAGTGAAGAGAAGACAGGTTTTGTTGTCCTCCTCTGCTGCTCTGGGCTCTTCTTTGGAGCATGGAGGCAATCTCAGTACTCACTGTTCTCTGTTATTAGTCAACTATGGTGGCTGAGTGAATCTTGTCTTGGTGGCTGAGTGAATCTTGTCTTGGTGGCTGAGTGAATCTTGTCTTGGTGGCTGAGTGAATCTTGTCTTGGTAGCTGAGTGAATCTTGTCTTGGTGGCTGAGTGAATCTTGTCTTGGTGGCTGAGTGAATCTTGTCTTGGTGGCTGAGTGAATCTTGTCTTGGTAGCTGAGTGAATCTTGTCTTGGTAGCTGAGTAAATCTTGTCTTGGTAGCTGAGTGAATCTTGTCCTGGTAGCTGAGTGAATCTTGTCTTGGTGGCTGAGTGAATCTTGTCTTGGTAGCTGCTGATCATGCTTGCTGTCTGAGGTGCCCAATGAGCTTCTCGGACTTTTCATATTTGAAGACTTTTTCCTGTCTCTCATACTATTGTCTTTTCTAATTTAGGCAGTAGAGCAGAACGCCTGTGTGATCCTCTTGTCTGATTTTGCTGCCTGAGAGAGCAAGTCCACAAGATGAATGGCAAGGTCTGATTTTGTTATCTGATTGATCAGGTCCATCAGATTAGTTGCAGTGTCTGATTCTGTTATCTAAGAAACCGGGTTAACGGCATAGTCTGATTCTGTTTGTATGGTAGGTACATAGGCAGTGTTTGTATGGTAGGTACATAGGCAGTGTTTGTATGGAAGGTATATGGGCTTATTAGCAGGGCATCCAAAAAAAAGCAAATAATAGTAACACTGCTCCCTACCGGGGCGTGTCGTAAGAGCCAACTAAGGATGAGTCTTGGCGTTGGCTACCTCATCGTATAAAAATAATAGCTGCAAAAAACCAGCCAAGCATGGAAAAGTCAGAGAGAAACAAGAAAAGCCCAGCCAACCAAGGTACAGAAGAATGGTGACACGGTGCAAAGGAGTCAGGATCGTTGACGTACTTCCTTTCAGCTCTCCAGAATCGGCACCTGGAATGTTAGAACTCCCTACGATTTAGAATGAACATCAGAGGTATTAAGGGAAATGAAAAATGTTAGGATTAGTATTTTAAGAATCAGTGAAACTGGATGGCACAGGGTGGAGAAAAGTATTCTAAATTCAGGGAAAACTATTTTGTTCTCATGACATACGGGAGAAAAGGGGGGGGGGGGGGAGATCTCCTCTTAGTGAAGGAGTGACCTTGATGCTGTCAAAAGAAGCAGAGAATGGGAAGCTGTCAGCACTAGAATAATAAGCATGCCATTTAGAGCAATGAAAAAGAAAGTGAACATGTCGGTGATACAGTGTTACTGTTACTCACCAACAAATAATTTAAAGCATACAATTAAACAATGGTTTAAAGCATAGGAGTGGACAGTGTAATTTGCATCATTCATTTGAGTGGTCTTGAGGCATGGCCTCTGCAGGTACAGAGTTCAGGTTCCTGTGAAGGCTGTGATTTTTTCATGTGGACTTCTAATAATTTCTCCTCGTCTGTGGGTAAACAGACCGGACATCCATGTGTATTGTTGCGCATGTAAGAAAATCCTCTGGCAGTTGAACATCAAAAAGAGTAGTCTAATGGGACTGCCCAGGCAGAATTTGGAGTTTAAAAATCTACCCAAAGTATTTCAAGATCCTCGCTTGTGCTACGGAGTTTGTGCACTGCACTAGGATTCTTAGGACTCAGGTTTGAGTTGAAAGTAGAACGGAGCGCTCATTGGTTACAACCCATGTGCCATAATGGTGGTCTATTGTTTAAACCTCAACCTTTGAACAAATTATAAACAAAGAAAGAAAGGGCTAAGATATGATCAGATAACAAAGGTTATGAATAAATTATGAGAAGACATGGGGAGCGTGACTTTAGTTAAATGTCCTAATTCTATTTTAGCCGTTATAACCTGTTTCTTGATCTGGGTCCCCTTCTCCTTACTTCCCTATTTTATTGTCTATTATTTATTGTAGCCACTGATGTCCTGATGGGAGCCACAGTGGTGTAGTGGCTAGTGGGTCTGAAAGTCATGGCTTCAGGTCCTGGGGGGGAGACAATTTAGGCATGCAGGCCTGACTTACATTCAGCCCTTGCAAACACCCATCTTTCACACAGCAGTAGTAGATGTCTTTCTGGGAGAGGGTGGCAGTTGGGAAACTGAACATCACATAGTTCTATTTTTGGGACAGCTTATTCTACAAACTGTTTGGATTCCCCTCTACCCACCCCTTTCCACAATTTCTTCCCTCTTCTCTTCTCTCACCCCCCCCCCTTTTTTTTCCCTTCTTGAATCTTGTCCTCTTCTACCTCTCTCTTACCCTTTCTGTCTCCCTCCTTAGTCTCATTTCACTTTCCTCTCCATCCTGGTCTTCTCTCTATCTAGTAGCTTTGTCCAGTACACAAAAAAATTGTGTTATGGTTGGGGGAGGGAGTGGGGTTTCAGCATCAGGCTGGTGGCTTTTCTTCTTGTGATGTTTTCTTTTGAAATTAGTTTTTTGCTTCTTTTGATCTGTTTTCTTAGCACCCCTGGCATTTGGCCTCTGTTTGTCACTGCCTTTCTCTCTTTCTGTATCTACCTTCCTCCCTTCTTTTGCTCTGCCTTTCTCTCTGTTTCTCTCCCTCTGTTTGCCTCTTTATATCGCCCTCTGTCTTTTTTTTGTCTAATCTCTCTGCTTGCATGTCCTTTCTGTCTCCCTCCCTCTCTTTGTCATGTTTTTCCTTCTTCCTTCTGCCCCTCTTTCCCTTCTTCCCCCTCTTATCAACTGTTCATTTCTACCTACCTGTCCCGTTTCCCTCTCTGTCTTTCACACTGTCACTTCCACACCTCAGTATCTGTCTTCCTCCCTTTCTCTACGACTCTCTCTCTCTCCTTCAGGTACCAGGTCTAGAATAGACAGGACTTTAATTTGCTCCCGTAAGAATGTCTTGAAATTGATTGGTAATTTGGCTACACACCCTGTCAAAGGGTCAAATCAATACTGTTGTATGGAGAGGAAACATGGAAAACAATTACTTGTAAACTAAAAATATTCATTAACTGGTGCCTGTGCAGAAAAGTCAGAATTAAATGTTATGATAGGATCTCTTAAGTTCCAGCTGGCCAAGGGGCGAAGAGTGATGCTGGCATTGGATAGGACACACACTGAGAACAAAATAAGTAGAATATCTTTCAGCTGGAGCCCACAAGGGCATTCATATAAATGCAGACCAAAAACACACAGAGAAGGGAGCTAGAGATGGGATTTACATAAGGTGAGCTGAATGCAATAGTGAAGGATAGAACGACTTGGTGTGAGTTGCTTCAGGGCCCATGCTCCTTTGGGGGGATGGAAAGCACTTGGGCAGTCTTTGTATGGAGGGAGCATTTGCCTTGTTTGTGTAGTAGGTACATGGACAGTGTTTGTCTGATAGCAGATAATTTTATGTTAGGAACAGATACTCATTATTTTATATAATGTGATTTTGTTCTCATGTTTTTAGTCATGAAAGTAAAAGCATTGAAAGGGGTGTCCGACTATCAGGGCCAGTGGATCCTGGACATGTATCATGCTGATGTGAGTTGTCTTAAATTGGTGTCTGTGATAGAGTTGACCGTCCATGTAGTCTGTTGTCTGGGACAGGTTTTATTGTTGTTGTCTGGGACAAGCTTGACGGTTGTTGTCTGGGACAGACTTGACTGTCCACATTGTTGTCTGGGACAGACTTGACAGTCCACATTATTGTCTGGGACAGACTTGACTGTCCACATTGTTGTCTGGGACAGACTTGACTGTCAACACTGTTGTCTGGGGCAGACTTGACAGTCCACATTATTGTCTGGGACAGACTTGACTGTCCACATTGTTGTCTGGGGCAGACTTAACTGTCCACATTGTTGTCTGGGGCAGACTTGACTGTCTACATTGTTGTTTGGGGCAGACTTGGCTGTCCACATTGTTGTCTGGGGCAGACTTGACTGTTCAAATTGTTGTCTGGGGCAGACTTGACTGTCCACATTGTTGTCTGGGACAGACTTGACTGTCCACATTGTTGTCTGGGGCAGACTTTACTGTCCGCATTGTTGTCTGGGACAGACTTGACTGTCTGCATTGTTGTCTGGGACAGACTTGACTGTCTGCATTGTTGTCTGGGACAGACTTGACTGTCTGCATTGTTGTCTGGGACAGACTTGACTGTCTGCATTGTTGTCTGGGACAGACTTGACTGTCTGCATTGTTGTCTGGGACAGACTTGACTGTCTGCATTGTTGTCTGGGACAGACTTGACTGTCTGCATTGTTGTCTGGGACAGACTTGACAGTCCACATTATTGTCTGGGACAGACTTGACTGTACACATTATTGTCTGGGACAGACTTGACTGTCCACATTGTTGTCTGGGACAGACTTGACTGTCAACACTGTTGTCTGGGGCAGACTTGACAGTCCACATTATTGTCTGGGACAGACTTGACTGTCCACATTGTTGTCTGGGGCAGACTTGACTGTCTACATTGTTGTTTGGGGCAGACTTGGCTGTCCACATTGTTGTCTGGGGCAGACTTGACTGTTCAAATTGTTGTCTGGGGCAGACTTGACTGTCCACATTGTTGTCTGGGACAGACTTGACTGTCCACATTGTTGTCTGGGACAGACTTTACTGTCCGCATTGTTGTCTGGGACAGACTTGACTGTCTGCATTGTTGTCTGGGACAGACTTGACTGTCTGCATTGTTGTCTGGGACAGACTTGACTGTCTGCATTGTTGTCTGGGACAGACTTGACTGTCTGCATTGTTGTCTGGGACAGACTTGACTGTCTGCATTGTTGTCTGGGACAGACTTGACTGTCTGCATTGTTGTCTGGGACAGACTTGACTGTCTGCATTGTTGTCTGGGACAGACTTGACTGTCTGCATTGTTGTCTGGGACAGACTTGACTGTCTGCATTGTTGTCTGGGACAGACTTGACTGTCTGCATTGTTGTCTGGGACAGACTTGACTGTCTGCATTGTTGTCTGGGACAGACTTGACTGTCTACTTTGTTCAGTATATAAATAATCATCACCAGACTGGTCTTATACAAACGTGGCCTGGCAGCACTCAATAGGGGTTACGATACACATAGAACAGAGGACTGTTGGTCTTATTAGGGATGCTAGTTAAGTTTTATGTATTGGTTTTTTACTTATTAAACCATTACCTCTAGACAGAGATTTAAATAACAAATCCAGTAATACTTCAGTAAGTCAATTCTAAGCAGATGTATTAACATTTTAGTGGCTTATACCGCTATAGACAAATTATTGTGGAATTTGACATATATACTCACGTAAAGAGTACCCACACACACAAAAAGTTTTTCCAATGAGGTCAATGCTTCCCTGTTTTCAGGGTCAAAATATATTCACTGCGCAGATGAAACAAAATAGCATCTCAGCTTTTGTTTTGGCATCCATTAGCAGCCATACTGTTCAACCATCTGGTCCTTCTAGTAATTGAATATGGCCAGGGAATTTTAACTCCAGCTTTCTCACTGTGTGAAAATCCTGAACATTTTAAAAATTAGGAAATGGAAGTAGTCTTGAGTTGCACGCGAGATACTCCAGTTTGAACAAAATCATTGGCATACAGGGCTTTGGAGTCATACTGGTGGCAGGCTGTTGTGAAAACATTTCTGTAGACCAGAAACAAATTTGGTGCTATCCCACTGACCCGGGCAATTCTTTTAGTTTTACCAGTTTGCTGACTATTAATTCTAAATCTGCTGGGCATTGGAAAAGAGATCTTTGATACACATGTACTTGACATGCATAACTTCTTTCGCACCTTGAGCACTGGTGATGTGTTATACAGAATCTGCTTTATTATGCTGGTGTAATCTGGTAATCTGGTAATCCTAGTTTCAGCTTCATAGCAAACGGGTCACCCCACATATGCTCCGCTCCTGTGCCAACGAAAAACAAACGCAGCTCACAGTGTCACGCCATGCACTCAACTCAGAGACTGGGCGACGAAACTACATCCTTCCAGTCTACAAATGGAGCAAAAATGCAACAGCCACCGTCTGGCAAAAAAAAAAAATTTTTGCCACGGCTTTTAAAAAAAAAAGGTGGCCGTACCTAGCGTCCATTTTGACCGGAAGAATTATATGAGGGTTAATAAACGGTCGCCCCAGCAGTACCCTCCTTATTCGCTGGGGAAGGGACTTAGGACATTACATCCACCAGCAGGCGTCGCCCCTACAACGACCTGCCTGCCATCGTTAACAACTGTTCACCCAACAGCCATGCAGTTCTTTGGCACGAAGGAGACACCTTGAACTTGGGTTTCGTACTGCAGACTCCCTACTAAGATGTTATTTTATGTTCTGTTATCACAATTAATGTCACTGCACACTGGGCATACCCATGCGTGCTCAGTTCTCCGAAGCAGCAGCCACTCTAAAGTACTTCTACTAATTGTCCCCATGAGAAGCTGGTTATATTGTCTCCTTTCTCGGCCTCGAAGACGGCAAAGACGTGCATCACCATGCTCAACTCCCATGTCACGCAATCGTGTTAGTGTCAGGGATTCCTCATTCTCCACTAGCCCAGTTCGTACAGCGTTGACTATGTCTGCTCTGTCCATACTTTTTCCCGCAATCATTAGTGCAGTGCTTGCCAGTTGGTCTGCTCGCTCATTTCCCTTCACGCCCGCATGGCCCGGTGTGTAGATCCAGGTTACGGAGGTTAAGTGCGATTTCCTAATGCTTTCTATCCATTCAGAGCGCATACTGCCTGTTGCTATCTTCTGAAGCATATTCATTGAGTCTGAGACAATTACTACCTGTGTGGCGGTTTGCTCGGATACCCATGCTAAAGCTCTAGAAGCAGCAGCTATTTCCATTGTCATGCTTGACGTGGTTGTCTGGTAAGCGCCGCTGTCCTCATGTATTGTTTTCCCCTTTCTTTGCGCTGTGTATGCCCATTCTGACCTTGATCCGCGCTTCAAGGATCCATCTGTGTAGATAATGGTATCTTCTGGGTCTGAATGCTGATCTATCAGTTCCCTTACTTCTGTGTCTACCGTCGCAGGAATTTGATCCCTGCAGTACCTTCCGAGTGTGATGACAACCTTAGAGATGCCATGCATGTCTACTGGTGTATTCGTCCATTCTTTTCCGTGGCTGATCACGTCTAGGTCACATACCTGCTAGATTAAGTCCTCAGCCTTTGCCATCCAAGAGCGGCCCCTTTTGAGACGCGTTCCTTTTGTGTCGTGAATAGCTTTGTGTAATGGGTGGTTAACATCTGCCGATACCCTCATGTAAGCCTTGACCTGTGCCACTTTGTATCTGCTTGTCATAGTCGGCAGATCCAAGATATAACGCATGGCGTTGCAGGAGGTGTCTTTTGTGCAGCCGAGTATGAGTCTCATGGCCTCATTCTGTACTCGGTCCAGTCTTTCTAGCTGGGTTTTGCTGACAGTGAGGTGGCCAAGACCATAGTCAATGACGCTAAGCACAAGCCCTTGATCGAGAAGGAAAAGTAGACGTTGTTCAATATCAGCTGCTGCTAGCACCTTGAGTGCTGTCAAACCTTTCCTGGCTCTAAGTATGACGTTGTCTACGTGGCATTTGTATGACAAGCATCTGTCAAATGTCATGCCCAGGTATTTCATGGTGTCCGTTCTCTCGATGTCCACACCACAGATGCTTACGACTGGGGTTGGTGTACTCACGATGTGGGTATTCAGAGAGAACCATGTTAAGTAGGCTTTGGACGGGTTCACCTGAGCTCTTGATTCCTGGCACCATTTACTAAGTCTGTCTAGTTCGTGTTGTAGTGTGGTTGTAATTTCCTGCCGGTTTTTACCTCGACAGTAAACAAGGATATCATCTGCATACGACATTGTTCTGCCTAGGCCTACGCGTTGTGCACTAGTGACTGGTGTATGGATCACTGGTGCATGAGAATCTGCATTCTATGTGAAGAGCCTGGATCACTGGTGGAGTGTTTACACTGAGAATCTAGTCTTTAGTTGGAGCCTGGATCACTGGTGAAGTGTTTACACTGAGAATCTAGTCTTTAGTTGGAGCCTGGAGTACTGGTGAGGTGTTTCATATACAACAGCATTACCCCTGATGGAGCCTTTTTTGTTTTTACAGGAAGCAGTTGATGGGGAAGATGATGATGATGATGAAAGTATTGAAGGGATGACAGTGGAATCTAATGTCCTTTGCTCAGATAGGCCACAGAATGCTGGCTGTAATGAGGTGGAAGAGGTGGATGAAGACATCGCTGATGGCACAGTAAGTCTTACCAGCTTAACAATGTCATTTGTTTCAGTTATTTTAAGATCTCTTGAAAGCACTGGTGACTTCCAGTTAGTATATGTATTGTCACATCTGTTTTTTCCTGTAGAGATCATGGTTATTCGTTGTTCCTGTGGTCGTTAATAATGTTTATCTGTTGTTGTTTCTGTAGTCAATTATAATGTTTTTCTGTTGTTGTTCCTACAGTCATACATCATGGTTACCTGTTGTCATTCCAGTAGTCATGAATCATGTTTATCTGTTGTCGTTCCTGTAGACATTCATCATGGTTATTATTTGTTGTTTCTCTAGATATGGCTGTCTATTGCTGCTTCTGTAAACATCATGGCTATCTGTTGTTTTTTCTGGAGACATCATGGCTTACTGTTGTATTTGTTTTTCAAGACATCATGGCTGTTGTATTTGTTTCTGGAGACATGGCTTTCTGTTGTATTTGTTTCTGGAGACATCATGGCTGTCTGTTGTTTCTGGAGACATCAGGGCTATCTTTTGTTGGTTCTGGAGACATCATGGTTATCCATTGTTTTTTTTTTGTAGATAGCATGGTTATGTGTAATTGTAATCTGTGAAATTTATCTCTGTTTAATTTTATCTAGCAAACAGAACTAGGTGAAGAGGACAATTATGATGAGCAGATGGATATGGAGGAAGAGGAGAAAATGTAAGTCATGTTAATTGTGCTGTGTCAGGTATTTTCCCACTTTGTTCTGGGCCAGTTCTAGATGTTCAGAGGTCGTTAAAAGATGTGTCATCGTGTAGTTTAGAACATGCGACATCAGTGCTGATGTAATTGGAGGCAAGACAACGTGATACCCCTCTGGCGTAGAACAGTCTGAGAAAGCATAAATGAAACATCAACCTGTGTGCAGATGGGCTGGGATTCATAAATAGGAACTTTTCCCTTTTTAGTTTTGAGAAAATATTATACTTGGGGGTCACCAAAGGTTTCCCACTTTAATTTATAGAAAATGGTACAGTTGAGATAACCGAAGTTTGCATGCTTTTGTATGGAGAAAAATAGTACAGTTGGGAGTCACCAAAGGTTTCCCACTTTAATTTATAGAAAATGGTACAGTTGAGATAACCGAAGTTTGCATGCTTTTGTATGGAGAAAAATAGTACAGTTGGGAGTCACCAAAGGTTTCCCACTTTAATTTATAGAAAATGGTACAGTTGAGATAACCGAAGTTTGCATGCTTTTGTATGGAGAAAAATAGTACAGTTGGGAGTCACCAAAGGTTTCCCACTTTAAGAAAAGGATGCAGAAGGAAGGCAAGATGAATATTTAAAATGACTGCTACTGGTAGTAATACAATTAGAACTTTGCCCTGGCTGCTGGAGATAGGGACAGGGAGCTTATGAAAATGTGAGTATTGGGATGGCCATTTCCCCACTACCAAGGAGGCTTCCAATAATGTAAAACCATGTATGTGAAGCACATATGGTGGCTGCCTGATGCATTTACTTTGCATGTGCGGGCTTCCAGATTTGCTGGGACATATTTTCCATAAGTTTATCAGTGGGGCAGTGAAGTTTTTGTGTATGATGTCTACTGGATTAGGAATGGAGCAGTTTTGGTGCAACCCCTCTGCAGTGAAGTTGGAACTTTGGCTAGGACTAGAAGACTCTTGATGACCAGAAGCAAAGATGTATTGCTCAAGTAGCACCTGTTGCTGACCATGCTGGTGGTTAATCAGTCTTGAGTTAACCCTTGTCTCCTAGAATCTTCCCTTGACCTTTGTGTCCTAGAATCTTGGCTTGACCTTTATATCCTAGAATCTTGCTTGACCTTCGTATCTTGTGTTACTGTTGACCTGTGTAGTGTTGAATTGTGTTACTGTTGACATGCCTTACTGTTGACCTGCGTTAATATTGACCTTTATGTCCTAGAATCTTGACTTGACTTTCATGTCCTAGAATCCCAAATATCTAGCATGCACTCCATCTCTCTAGTCCTCAACAGCGACCAGCTTACCTGAGAACAGATGTCTGCAAATTGTGATTATTTGTTTGTTCCCTAGATTAAAAGGGTTGTGAATCCATTTTAACAGGTATGAACGGCTGAAGCAAGAAAGACAGCATGTTCAGTTTCCTGATGAAGTGGATACACCTCAGAATGTGCCAGCCCGGCAGCGGTTTGCTAGGTAGGATCATTCAGATATACAGCTGGGGGTCTTGTCAAGATACTTGTTTCTGTTGCTTCAGTTGGTTTGTGGAACCTGTTATTGTTATTGTAACTGTTTGTATCTGTTGTTAGTCTTGCCCCACCACCTGACAGACCTAACAAGCCGGCAGTAATCAGCTGCTGCTACACAAGAAACAATGATCAAGAGAAGGTTTTTGATGTAGTTAAAAGATTCAAACTGGACAATTCTAGAAGATTATGGTATTCATGGATGAGCTGTTGAGCAACATCATGGCTCTGTATCCAGATAGCCAGTGCAAATAATAGATGACAAATTGGTTCCCCATCCCATCAGGTTTCAGACAGGGATGTGTCCTCACCATTGCTGTTCATTATTTAGGGTAGAGTTACACAGGAAGCAAATACAGACACTGAAGAAAATAATGAACTATTGTGTGCAGACAATCAAATGTCTTATACAGTGTTTCTCAACCTGTTTTTTTTTTTACCCGGCATACCAAAATGGGGGAAGTGCAGATTCAACTTTTCACAGTGTCTGATGACAAAAACCAGACTTGTAATAGAGATGATTCTGACTCTGCCAGCAAATGTGGCGCTAAAAGCTATAATTCCTGGCTAAGTAGAGATACACCAGGAAGTGATATCGCAACAGAAAGTAGTCACAGCGATGATGGACTTGATGACAGAAAAGCTGTACTTACATCTGATGGAAGAAGTGGGCATGGTACAGGAGACCAAAGCATTTCTACAGCTGGAAATGGAGAAAGGCTGCTCAAAATGAACTTGTTGAGCTTGACAATCTTCCTCCATACGAAGAACAAGTTAGCATCTTAGACACAGTTGGATGAGTGTCTGGTTTTTTTTTTCCACGCTTTTCCCCTGATACTGATATAGATCTAATCACATGTGAAGTCTGTAGGTATGGTGAAAATCAGCTCTCTTAGTACACAGGAAATGCCAAGTACAGGAAAAGCTCACTTGGGGGTTCATACAGTAGTTTCAGACTACTGGTGTAAGAATGGCAAAGAAGGAAATGAAGATTTGTAGGAAACTGGAGACAACAACAGCGAGGTAAACGGAAATGGAGAAAGACTACGACAAATGTGTAATTACTAATAGCTTTCTTCAGCATAGACTCTTATGTGTTCACTTGGTATAACTGGAAGGAGCCAGAAATAAAAAGCCAAACTGATGATATCCTGAGAAGGAAGAGAGATTTCTGTGAGCTCGTGGATGCTAGAGCCATACCAAATATCAGCACTGACACAGATCATAAGATGGTGATCGCAGATACACAAGTCACAGTCAAGCCGCACGCTAGGAAGAACTGTAATATTGAAATTATAAAATGGCAAGGATTAAACAACACAGAAATGAGAAAAACTCATCAACATTCACTTGGGGTGAAGGAGGAATGGATTCGTTTTAGAGATAGTCTCAAGAATTTAGCACAAGAACTATGTGAAACTGAAAAGAAAGGGAAGTCAGGATGTAAGATATCAAGATGGAATGAAGTAGAGGAAATGGTGAAAAACAAAAAGAAAGGGAAGTCAGGATGTAAGATATCAACATGGAATGAAGTAGAGGAAATGGTGAAAAACAAAAAGAAAGCTTACAATTTCTGGTTCAAATACAGAACAAAAGAAAACTTGCTCTTGTATTCTAGAGAGATGGTGTAAAATTTTTAAAAACTACTAAATTTCAAGAATTAAAGGTGACAGTGCAAACAACAATACTATAAAAACACAGCAAATGAAACAGATACACTAGAGCCAGAAATTCTATTGACAGAAGTAGAAAATGTAATAAAGATGGCACAAAACGAGCAAAATGATTCAGGCAAATTTTCCGGACTGCCTGGCTTGAACAAGAAACACCAGATGACTGGCAAACAGCAATAATTATGCCCATATGGGGGGGGGTAAAAAAGAGTTCACTAATTACAGAGCAATATCACTATTAAGCCACACGGGGAAAATGTATGCCAAAATTATTGAAATAAAATTAAGACCATTAGTAGAACAACTTTCAGAAGCCCAGATGGGTTTCAGAAGTAGCAGAAGCTGCACAACACAGTATTTACATTAAGACAATTGGCAGGAAGAGCAAAAGAATATGATAAGACATGCAAAGTTGCATTTATAGATCAGGAAAAACCATTTTGGCTGTTTTGAAGGGCAGACGAAGTGCATGGGGGTTAATAGGGAAGGCGAATGGACGCCCCTTGGTGCAACAAAGCCAGGCATATGATATCACAACGTCTAGTTTGGGAATGGAGGTGAAGGCAGTCACTGCTGCCTTTCGCTGGCTTGAGAATCAGCTGTACACAGATGTCATCATGTAACAGACTCACAGAGCATGCTGAGAAAGATAAAGACGTGCCCCGTGCAGAGTAAAAGGCATCAATTCAGAAGTCATGGATAGTTAGCATTCTTTGGATATTTTCTCCAGGTCATTCTGGTGTGTTGTGAAATGAGCAGGCTGATAGACTGGCCGGTTCAGCACCACTTGATGGTGAACTGATGTATATCAAGTTAAATGTTATAAGGGCCCTTTTAGCGAGTGAACAGTGCCGAGGAACAGATAAATCATTATGGTCTGAGGAGTTACAAGGGGATCTAGCTGACGCTCGACACTCAGGGAAAAGGCGAGATGGATATACAGACAGTTACTGGTTCCATCGGAATGTTTAACTCTTTGCTTGCTGCTGAAGATGTTGACAGAGCTCTTATGGGGGTGTCCCGAGTTCTGTAATGTGGATTCCTAATTCAATATTCAGTTTTGATTAATGTTGATTGTGTTATTATTGATTGTCTTATTGTTGATTATGTAGCTGTTGACTTGTGTTGTTTGTTGCTACACTCAACAGGTATCGTGGGCTGGACGGCTTCCATGCCACTTCATGGGACCCTAATGAATCCCTGCCTCGTGACTATGCCAGAATTTATCGAGTCAGCAAACAGCACTACAAAAGGCTCCGCAAGCTATCCCTGATGAACGGCAGCCAATCTAAGGAGACAAGTAATGTTGCTGAGGTCTGTTTTCATTCTTTGCTGTTTCTTTTTTAAAACCACTTTCCATGTAGTGGTGTTGTGCTACCCATGCTTGATCTCTATTAGTAAATGTTCAACTAGTCGGTCAATGTTCAACTAGTCACACCCCTGGGCTCCTCATATTGCTTACAAAACACATGTGACGGTGGAGAAAAGAAAATGTTTAGGATGTTGAATTTTAGTGCTTTGATGAGAGCGCCCAAGAACCACTCAGATGACTGCTATTTCTATGTTTCAAAGAAGAGTCCACAACCTGAACATCATTCGTTTTAATTGTGCAAAACCTTCTAGATAACTTTAAAACATAGTTTTTCTTCATTAGTTGGAAACAAGCTGTGGAGTTTTTGTAAGCTTGGATGCAACATGAGCATAAAATGGCATTACCTCCATAACCGTTGACATTTCTGTCTCAAGAATGTTGGCAGCTTTAAAGGGGAGTCAAGTGAAAGATTTCACCAAGATATAAAAACATGGGAGATAGAGATACCATGGACTTTAGGTTTGGAATGCCCACATGATGGCAGATCACTGACCCTTAAGCCATGACTGTCTGGGCATATCCCATTCCAGGATACTCAAACAGAAGTGTTTGTTTCGACTGTTGATAAACAAATACTAGTGATAACATCTCAATACAATTTTGGTGTTTTAGATGAAGGTGAAAAATGCACAGTAATTACATATAATATGAATGCAGGTTGAATAACAAATGCCACTGATATCACCTGACTCTAGGATTGTACATAACAGTTACCTTATTAGGACGCAGACATATTTGTATTAATGTAGAGACATTGTGATAAAGCACTACGGCACACATGTTCTTTAATGTAGAGACACAAACTTTATTTTAAAGGGTCACAAGGCCTGTCTTACATTTGATCCTTCCAAACACCCATCTTTCACACAGCATTTGTATTTTATCAAGCATGTTATGTACATATTATGAATATCGTGTCAAAAACAAAAGCATGAGTTGTAAAATGCTTGCACACGCTCGATGGCGCACACAGGGAGATGTAGCACTGCAGAACATGTGTGTAATAATGTAGAGATGTTGAGATATAGCACTGCAGCACACATGTGTGTATTATTGTAGAGATGTTGAGATATAGCACTGCAGCACACATGTGTGTATTATTGTAGAGATGTTGAGATATAGCACTGCAGCACACATGTGAGTATTATTGTAGAGATGTTGAGATATAGCACGGCAGCACACATGTGAGTATTATTGTAGAGATGTTGAGATATAGCACTGCAGCACACATGTGAGTATTATTGTAGAGATGTTGAGATATAGCACTGCAGCACACATGTGTGTATTATTGTAGAGACGGTGAGATATAGCACTGCAGCACACATGTGTGTATTATTGTAGAGACGGTGAGATATAGCACTGCAGCACACATGTGTGTACTATTGTAGAGACGGTGAGATATAGCACTGCAGCACACATGTGTGTATTATTGTAGAGACGGTGAGACATAGCACTGCAGCACACATGTGTGTATTATTGTAGAGATGTTGAGATATAGCACTGCAGCACACGTGTGTGTATTATTGTAGAGATGTTGAGATATAGCACTGCAGCACACATGTGTGTATTATTGTAGAGACGGTGAGATATAGCACTGCAGCACACATGTGTGTATTATTGTAGAGATGTTGAGATATAGCACTGCAGCACACATGTGAGTATTATTGTAGAGACGGTGAGATATAGCACTGCAGCACACATGTGTGTATTATTGTAGAGATGGTGAGATATAGCACTACGGCACACATGTGAGTATTATTGTAGAGATGTTGAGATATAGCACTGCAGCACACATGTGAGTATTATTGTAGAGATGTTGAGATATAGCACTGCAGCACACATGTGTGTATTATTGTAGAGACGGTGAGATATAGCACTGCAGCACACATGTGTGTATTATTGTAGAGACGGTGAGATATAGCACTGCAGCACACATGTGTGTACTATTGTAGAGACGGTGAGATATAGCACTGCAGCACACATGTGTGTATTATTGTATTATTATTGTAGAGACACATGGTGTGTATTATTGTAGAGACAGATATAGCACTGCAGCACACATGTGTGTATTATTGTAGAGATGTTGAGATATAGCACTGCAGCACACATGTGTGTATTATTGTAGAGACGTTGAGATATAGCACTGCAGCACACATGTGAGATATTACTGCAGCACACATGTGAGTATTATTGTAGAGACGGTTGAGATATAGCACTGCAGCACACATGTGTGTATTATTGTAGAGATGGTGAGATATACTGCAGCACTGTGTATTATTGTAGAGACAGATATAGCACACATGTGTGTATTATTGTAGAGACGGTGAGATATAGCACTGCAGCACACATGTGTGTATTATTGTAGAGACGGTGAGATATAGCACTACGGCACACATGTGTGTATTATTGTAGAGACGGTGAGATATAGCACTGCAGCACACATGTGTGTATTATTGTAGAGACGGTGAGATATAGCACTGCAGCACACATGTGTGTATTATTGTAGAGATGGTGAGATATAGCACTGCAGCACACATGTGTGTATTATTGTAGAGACGGTGAGATATTGCACTATGGCACACATGTGAGTATTATTGTAGAGACGGTGAGATATAGCACTACGGCACACATGTGAGTATTATTGTAGAGACGGTGAGATATAGCACTAGACACGGTGAGACGGTGATATAGCACTGCAGCACACAGCACACGTGTGAGTATTATTGTAGAGACGGTGAGATATGGCACTGGCAGCACATGTGTGTATTATTGTAGAGACGGTGAGATATAGTGAGATATAGCACTACGGCACACATGTGAGTATTATTGTAGAGACGGTGAGATATAGCACTGCAGCACACGTGTGAGTATTATTGTAGAGACGGTGAGATATGGCACTGCAGCACACATGTGAGTATTATTGTAGAGACGGTGAGATATTGCACTACGGCACACATGTGAGTATTATTGTAGAGACGGTGAGATATAGCACTGCAGCACACATGTGAGTATTATTGTAGAGACGGTGAGATATTGCACTATGGCACACATGTGAGTATTATTGTAGAGACGGTGAGATATAGCACTACGGCACACATGTGAGTATTATTGTAGAGACGGTGAGATATAGCACTGCAGCACACATGTGAGTATTTTTGTAGAGACGGTGAGATATAGCACTGCAGCACACATGTGTGTATTATTGTAGAGACGGTGAGATATAGCACTGCAGCACACATGTGTGTATTATTGTAGAGACGGTGAGATATAGCACTGCAGCACACATGTGTGTATTATTGTAGAGACGGTGAGATATAGCACTGCAGCACACACTGTGTGTATTATTGTAGAGACGGTGAGATATAGCACTGCAGCACACATGTGTGTGTGTATTATTGTAGAGACGGTGAGACATAGCACTGCAGCACACATGTGTGTATTATTGTAGAGATGGTGAGATATAGCACTGCAGCACACATGTGTGTATTATTGTAGAGACGTTGAGATATAGCACTGCACACACATGTGTGTATTATTGTAGAGACTGAGATATAGCACAGCACACATGTGTGTATTATTGTAGAGATGGTGAGATATAGCACTGCAGCACACATGTGTGTATTATTGTAGAGACGGTGAGATATAGCACTGCAGCACACATGTGTGTATTATTGTAGAGACGGTGAGATATTGCACTGCAGGCACACATGTGTGTATTATTGTAGAGACGGTGAGATATAGCACTACGGCACACATGTGAGTATTATTGTAGAGACGGTGAGATATAGCACTGCAGCACACGTGTGAGTATTATTGTAGAGACGGTGAGATATAGCACTGCAGCACACGTGTGAGTATTATTGTAGAGACGGTGAGATATGGCACTACGGCACACGTGTGAGTATTATTGTAGAGACGGTGAGATATAGCACTGCAGCACACGTGTGAGTATTATTGTAGAGACGGTGAGATATGGCACTGCGGCACACATGTGAGTATTATTGTAGAGACGGTGAGATATGGCACTGCGGCACACATGTGAGTATTATTGTAGAGACGGTGAGATATTGCACTACGGCACACATGTGAGTATTATTGTAGAGACGGTGAGATATAGCACTGCAGCACACATGTGAGTATTATTGTAGAGACGGTGAGATATTGCAATATGGCACACATGTGAGTATTATTGTAGAGACGGTGAGATATAGCACTACGGCACACATGTGTGTATTATTGTAGAGACGGTGAGATATTGCACTATGGCACACATGTGAGTATTTTTGTAGAGACGGTGAGATATAGCACTATGGCACACATGTGTGTATTATTGTAGAGACGGTGAGATATAGCACTGCAGCACACATGTGTGTATTATTGTAGAGACGGTGAGATATTGCACTATGGCACACATGTGTGTATTATTGTAGAGACGGTGAGATATAGCACTGCAGCACACATGTGAGTATTATTGTAGAGACGGTGAGATATAGCACTACGGCACACATGTGTGTATTATTGTAGAGACGGTGAGATATTGCACTATGGCACACATGTGAGTATTATTGTAGAGACGGTGAGATATAGCACTATGGCACACATGTGTGTATTATTGTAGAGACGGTGAGATATAGCACTGCAGCACACATGTGTGTATTATTGTAGAGACGGTGAGATATTGCACTATGGCACACATGTGAGTATTATTGTAGAGACGGTGAGATATAGCACTGCAGCACACATGTGAGTATTATTGTAGAGATGTTGAGATATAGCACTGCAGCACACATGTGAGTATTATTGTAGAGACGGTGAGATATAGCACTGCAGCACACATGTGAGTATTATTGTAGAGACGGTGAGATATAGCACTGCAGCACACATGTGTGTATTATTGTAGAGATGTTGAGATATAGCACTGCAGCACACATGTGAGTATTATTGTAGAGACGGTGAGATATAGCACTGCAGCACACATGTGTGTATTATTGTAGAGACGGTGAGATATAGCACTGCAGCACACATGTGAGTATTATTGTAGAGACGGTGAGATATTGCACTGCAGCACACATGTGAGTATTATTGTAGAGACGGTGAGATATAGCACTATGGCACACATGTGAGTATTATTGTTGAGACGGTGAGATATTGCACTATGGCACACATGTGTGTATTATTGTTGAGACGGTGAGATATTGCACTATGGCACACATGTGAGTATTATTGTAGAGACGGTGAGATATAGCACTGCAGCACACATGTGTGTATTATTGTAGAGACGGTGAGATATAGCACTGCAGCACACATGTGTGTATTATTGTAGAGACGATGAGATATTGCACTATGGCACACATGTGAGTATTATTGTAGAGACAGTGAGATATAGCACTACGGCACACATGTGAGTATTATTGTAGAGACGGTGAGATATAGCACTGCAGCACACGTGTGAGTATTATTGTAGAGACGGTGAGATATGGCACTGCAGCACACATGTGAGTATTATTGTAGAGACGGTGAGATATTGCACTATGGCACACATGTGAGTATTATTGTAGAGACGGTGAGATATAGCACACATGAATGTATTAATGTAGAAACAGACAGTGACATATACCACTATGGCACACATGTGTTCAATGTAGAGACCTTGAGATATTGTACTACAGCACACATGAATGTATTAATGTAGAGACAGTGAGATATTGGGGTGTGGCACACATGTGTTCAATGTAGAGACGGTGAGATATAGCACTGCAGCACACGTGTGAGTATTATTGTAGAGACGGTGAGATATGGCACTGCAGCACACATGTGAGTATTATTGTAGAGACGGTGAGATATTGCACTACGGCACACATGTGAGTATTATTGTAGAGACGGTGAGATATAGCACTGCAGCACACATGTGAGTATTATTGTAGAGACGGTGAGATATTGCACTATGGCACACATGTGAGTATTATTGTAGAGACGGTGAGATATAGCACACATGAATGTATTAATGTAGAGACAGACAGTGACATATACCACTATGGCACACATGTGTTCAATGTAGAGACCTTGAGATATTGTACTACAGCACACATGAATGTATTAATGTAGAGACAGTGAGATATTGGGGTGTGGCACACATGTGTTCAATGTAGAGACGGTGAGATATAGCACTGCAGCACACGTGTGAGTATTATTGTAGAGACGGTGAGATATTGCGGTATGGCACACATGTGTTCAATGTAGAGACAGTGAGATATTGCGGTATGGCACGCATGTGTTCAAAGTGGAGACAGATATCTCACTACAGCACACATGTATGCGTTAAGTTGCATTGATATACAGCACTACAGCACACATGTATGTAATAATGTAGAGACTGTGAGTTATCACACTAAAGCACACATGTGTTTCAACAGAGTTCATCCGCTGACCAGGAAACTTGAAATTTGTGGCCCCGAACATAAGCATTTTTTTTTTTTCCAACTTTGAAAAAGACATATTGACCTTGAAAAGCCTTGAATTTTGCCGCATGCGATTTACGGCAGTTAGGGTTGTTTCCGGCCATTTGGCTTTTTTGGTTACTTTCGTTTACAGTCGTTTCAAGTATGAGGGCAGTCGATAATCGGCCATTTTCAGCTGAAATGGCTTGTTAAAGGCTAGGAAAGGGCGGGCTGTGTTGCAGCCCATGGATTCATGTAGACAACAGCAGTGTAGCATGGGGCGGGAAGGAGCAGTCGCCATCTCTTGTACCTTTGTTTCTAGTGGGTCCAGCAGGATAAATAGTATAAAAAGCTACAGGGCCAGTGGTTTCTAGAAACAAGGATTACATTGGTAGATAGTGTGGCTAAGCAAAGTGACGTCATCTGGATTTCCTTGTTCTATTTTTAGACTGGTTTATGTTTACAATGTGTTTGGCGATCAACAATGTAATTCCCCCATAGTTTCCTTCCTCTGCTCTCTCTCTCTATATCTCTCTCTCTATATATCTCTCTCTTTCACTTTCTCTCTCACTCACTGTTCTCACCTCCTCTGTCTCACCCTTACCATCTCAACCTTCACCATCTTTCACAACCACCTCTCCACTCTCCTTTCTGTTTTTGGTACCCTGACCTTTTTGGGGGGGGGGGGGGGTATCCTGCTCTATTTTCCACAAGTGGTGGGTTGGGATCCCTGGTCTATTTTACTAAATGACCTAGGCTCCCAGGTCCACCAGCCTTGAGTGTCAGAAATGGAACTATTGTTGTCACATGCAGAGCGAACAAGCATGGGGCAGGTAGGGGTTAGCACTGTTGTTTATGGAGCATGGCCACATTCAAGTTGGGAGAGGGTGGGAACCAGAAAAGTGGCCTCACTTAGATTTGCCAATTCTTTTTTGGGCGCTCAGTGTTCTTACCCTTCTTCCTGGTACCATGCCGTCTGCTATTATTTTTTTCAAATCCTGTGGCGCTTGATATAGTGTTTTTACATTTTTGTGTGTGTTGTAGACTCAGTAGTAGAGAGGGGCAAATTAAAGTCCTGTCTGTTTTGGACCTGGTTCCTGGAAGGGGGAGAGATAAAGAGACATAAAGAGAGGGAGGAAGACACATGCTGAGGTAGACTGGGAAAGTCGGAGATATGAAGGTAGAGGAAAGAAAGGAAAGAGAGATTGGGGGAAGGAGAAAAAAAGATGACGAGGCACTAAGAGATATAGCACACATATGTGTTGGGAAAACATAGAGGTATTAAAAGAGATATAGCACAGTCCGTTTTCATCAGTAATTGAAAATTGACACATTGATTAAGAGTATGTTGTGAATCAGTCCATTATGTTGATGCTTGAATCCAGTAGCTGATTTATGTGGTTTCAGCCTGGAAGCTTCATCACAGTCCACATCAGCAATGTGCCCAAGTCTTTGATAGGTAGGTCTCTGCATGTCTGTATCCGTGTGGCCCTGACTTTGAGGCCAGTTTGTCTTCCATTGAGTTTTCATTTGATGGGGTTGGTGCCTAAAAAGGTGCTGGTGCTGCAGATAAAACACAAGACAGATGTACACACACACACATAGACACATCAGGTTGCATCTGAGTTATACTCATGCCACTCCAGACATACCCATAGGTGCTCAGATTTCCCCTATCATCCTCTACCACGCAGCCATGTAAACCTGCCTGTTATCATCCTCTACCACCCAGCCATGTAAACCTGTTATCATCCTCTACCACCCAGCCATGTAAACCTGCCTGTTATTATCCTCTACCACCCAGCCATGTAAACCTGCCTGTTATCATCCTCTACCACCAGGCCATGTAAACCTGCCTGTTATCATTTTCCACCACCCAGCCATGTAAACCTGCCTGTTATCATCCTCTACCACCCAGCCATGTAAACCTGCCTGTTATCATTTTCCACCACCCAGCCATGTAAACCTGCCTGTTATCATCCTCTACCACCCAGCCATGTAAACCTGCCTGTTATCATTTTCCACCACCCAGCCATGTAAACCTGCCTGTTATCATCCTCTACCACCCAGCCATGTAAACCTGCCTGTTATCATCCTCCACCACCCAGCCATGTAAACCTACCTGTTATCATCCTCTACCACCCAGCCATGTAAACCTGCCTGTTATCATCCTCCACCACCCAGCCATGTATACCTGCCTGCTATCATCCTCTACCACCCAGCCATGTAAACCTGCTTGTTATCATCCTCCACCACCCAGCCATGTAAACCTACCTGTTATCATCCTCTACCACCCAGCCATGTAAACCTGCCTGCTATCATCCTCTATCACCCAGCCATGTAAACCTGCCTGTTATCATCCATCCTCTACCACCCAGCCATGTAAACCTGCCTGCTATCATCCTCTACCACCCAGCCATGTAAACCTGCCTGTTATCATCCTCTACCACCCAGCCATGTAAACCTGCCTGTTATCATCCTCTATCACCCAGCCATGTAAACCTGCCTGTTATCATCCTCTATCACCCAGCCATGTAAACCTGCCTGTTATCATCCATCCTCTACCACCCAGCCATGTAAACCTGCCTGTTATCATCCTCCACCACCCAGCCATGTAAACCTACCTGTTATCATCCTCTACCACCCAGCCATGTAAACCTGCCTGTTATCATCCTCCACCACCCAGCCATGTATACCTGCCTGCTATCATCCTCTACCACCCAGCCATGTAAACCTGCTTGTTATCATCCTCCACCACCCAGCCATGTAAACCTACCTGTTATCATCCTCTACCACCCAGCCATGTAAACCTGCCTGCTATCATCCTCTATCACCCAGCCATGTAAACCTGCCTGTTATCATCCATCCTCTACCACCCAGCCATGTAAACCTGCCTGCTATCATCCTCTACCACCCAGCCATGTAAACCTGACTGTTATCATCCTCTACCACCCAGCCATGTAAACCTGCCTGTTATCATCCTCTATTACCCAGCCATGTAAACCTGCCTGTTATCATCCTCTATCACCCAGCCATGTAAACCTGCCTGTTATCATCCATCCTCTACCACCCAGCCATGTAAACCTGCCTGTTATCATCCTCTACCACCCAGCCATGTAAACCTGCCTGCTATCATCCTCTATCACCCAGCCATGTAAACCTGCCTGTTATCATCCATCCTCTACCACCCAGCCATGTAAACCTGCCTGCTATCATCCTCTACCACCCAGCCATGTAAACCTGCCTGTTATCATCCTCCACCACCCAGCCATGTAAACCTGCCTGTTATCATCCTCCACCACCCAGCCATGTAAACCTGTTATCATCCTCCACCACCCAGCCATGTAAACCTGCCTGCTATCATCCTCCACCACCCAGCCATGTAAACCTGCCTGTTATCATCCTGTAGACATCACGGAGATTGTGGGATCTGTGTGGGTTAACAGCATGTTTGGGTTGTGAACCCCGTGTGCTGGAGAGAAAATGAGATCCACTTGGATTATGTTGACCATTCTCGTTGCGGTTTCTCCTCCAGTTTTGATGTTGCAAGATTGTGGTAGTCCGATTTTCAGACAGAGCTACTGTTTAGTGCTCCTGGAGGCACTATGAGCTGTGATTATCGGTTTTTCCAGATTCTTACATAATGGCAATGATGGGTGATGTATTTTTCTTCATTGTGTTCCTGGGACACGGCATGTGCTACAGCCGCATTTATTTGCTGGTCGTGGCTGCAACTTGGCCGAGGACATGTGGAGAATGGTCAGGAATATTTTTAATCTACTCATCGCCCACTTATTCGTCGAATGAAGTTGATTTTCAGCTGTGACACCTGGTCTCGCAGTGTGTTTAAGGTGGGCATGCACCTTGTGGTTTGCCAAAACAAATCGTGTGTGTTTTGCTGACTGAGGACAGTTTGTATGGCTACGGCATTCACTTGAAGTATCCAGTGTATCTGACTCTGTGAGTGGAATCACTGGCAGTTTAGCGATTATAGGCCAAGCTCGCTTGCTGTGATGCTGTAACCGTAACGACTATCTATCTCCCTCCCTCTAGTGTATGTTACTTCTATATCCTCACCTTTAAAAGACATATTTCTCCCTCTCGTGTGTGTTACTTCTGTGTCATCCCCTATAAAGGCATGTTTCTCCTTCTAGTGTGTGTGTTACTTCTGTGTCATCCCCTATAAAGGCATGTTTCTCCTTCTAGTGTGTGTGTTACTTCTGTGTCATCCCCTATAAAGACATATTTCTCCCTCTAGTGTGTGTTATTTCTGTGTCATCCCCTATAAAGACATATTTCTCCCTCTATTGTGTGTTATTTCTGTGTCATCCCCTATAAAGACATATTTCTCCCTCTAGTGTGTGTTATTTCTGTGTCATTCCCTATAAAGACATATTTCTCCCTCTAGTGTTTGTGTTACTTCTGTGTCATCCCCTATAAAGACATGTTTCTCGCTCTAGCCTGTGCTACATCTGATTCCTCCCCTATAAAGGCTTTTTTCTCCCTCTAGTGTATTACTTGTGTGTTCTCCCCTATAAAGGGATGTTTCTCCCTCTAGCATGTGTGTTACTTCTGATTCCTCCCCTATAAAGGCATGTTTCTCCCTCTATAGTGTGTGTTACTTGTGTATCCTCTACAATTAAGGCATGTTTCAGCCTCTAGTGTGTGCTACTTCTGTGTTCTCCCGTATAGGAGTGTTTTCAGCCTCTAGTGTGTGAAACTTCTGTGTTCTCCCTTGTATAGGAATGTTTTTAGCCTCTAGTGTGTATTACTAAATGTTAGGACTTAGTTATACATATTCATCTAGCAGATGCAGAACTGACATTGCTCTTGTGTTGCAGACTCACGCAGCCCAAGCCAGCCGCTGACTGTGTTTGGCCTATTTCCTAATGAGCACAAGATGACACTCATCAGCACTGCCATTACACGAGTTGCTGCCTTTACAGCTCCAGTCAAGTCCAAGGATCCACTTATCTTCCAGATTGGTTTCCGTAGATTTTCTACTTCTCCTGTCTTCTCAGAACATTCCTATCAGAATAAGTTCAAGGTTAGTGGTTGGTTAGCTGCCAGATTTATAAGTTGGCAACAGGTGGTGGTGTCTCTGTGAGAGGTCTGGTAATAGTGATGCAGACAGTGATGTAGAGACATTGATTCAGTGACCAGGAGGCAGACAATTATGTGGGTACAGTGATACTGTGACCTAGAGACAGTGATTCAGTGACCAGGAGACAGTGATGTGGGTACAATAATGCAGTGGCCTAGAGATGGTGAAACAGTGACCTGGAGATGGTGATACAGTGACATGGAGACGGTGATGCAGTGACCTGGAGATGGTGATACAGTGACCTAGAGACAGTGACCTGGAGATGTTGATACAGTGACATGGAGACGGTGATACAGTGATCTAGAGACCATGCGCCTTGCATTGGTTTCGACAGTCATATCAGGGAGCTGATCGTCCAGAAAGCATTGACAAACTACTGGACGTAAATTTGCCTAGAAAAACCACACAGCAGCCAGGAGCTGCTGGGGTTGGTTCTGCAACGTCCTGTAAAGGATACGCAACTAATCTTTAATAGAGAAGACAGTGATTGCAGATTGGAGGCTGTCCATATTTGTAGATTAAATCAGTATAATTCTGGAAACATCTGGTCATGAATTATAAATAGAAAATCCTGGACATCTCTTGTTATGAATCACAAATAGAAAATCCTAGAAACACCTGGTCATGAATCATAAATAGAAAATTCTAGACTTATCTTGTCATGAATCATAAATAGAAAATTCGGGATACATCAGGTCATGAATCATAAATAGAAAATCCTGGACACATCAGGTCATGAATCATAAATAGAAAATTCAGGACATCAGGTCATGAATCATAAATAGAAAATTTGGGACACTTCTGGTCATGAATCATAAATAGAAAATCCTGGACACATCAGGTCATGAATCATAAATAGAAAATCCTGGACACATCTGGTCATGAATCATAAATAGAAAATCCTGGACACATCTTGTCATGAATCATAAATAGAAAATTCGGGACACATCAGGTCATAAGTCATAAATAGAAAATTTGGGACACATCAGGTCATGAATCATAAATAGAAAATTCTGGACACATCTGGTCATGAATCACAAATAGAAATTTCTGGACACATCAGGTCATGAATCACAAATAGAAAATTCTGGACACATCTGGTCATGAATCATAAATAGAAAATCCTGGACACATCAGGTCATGAATCATAAATAGAAAATCCTGGACACATCTGGTCATGAATCATAAATAGAAAATCCTGGACACATATTGTCATGAATCATAAATAGAAAATTCGGGACACATCTGGTCATGAATCATAAATAAAAAATCCTGGACACATCAGGTTATGAATCACAAATAGAAAATCCTGGAAACATCTGGTCATGAATGACAAATAGAAAATCCTGAAAATATTGAAAGGCAAAAGATTAGATATTGGACAGTTTGAACTCATGGCAGGTAAAAATTATTGTGTCAAAATGATTGGCGGTATGTGAGACTTGGAAGCTATTGATAAACCATAGTTTGAATTATAGGATGAGCACTGTCATACAGAGGTTATGTCAGTACTGGTCACTGATCCAGAATGGTTTTTATCAGTACTGTTGTATGATCCAACTTTAAGATCAAATTTTGTGTTGTGATGTTTGCCTACTAATGGCTGGCCTGGTAATTGTATTGTTGAATCTCATTTTACAGATGGAACGCTTCCTGCCTCAGTCTGGTTTTATAGCGGCTTCCATGTTTGCTCCAATTATGTTTGCACCTGCTCCAGTTTTAGTCTTCCGGGAAAATGTTGTAGGTCAGTATTTGGTTCTTTCTTCCGTCTCTACTTCCAATTGTCTCCTTCTATCATTGGGGGGGGGGGGAATTCCTTGTTTATCCATGTTTTCTTCTCTCCACTCTTTTATATTTCTGTTCCTTAATTTCTCCTTCCATTGCCTTCTGTAAATAACTATGTTACCTTTTTAGAACTTCATTTTCTTGTTTGATCTCTGTCTCATTTGATAAGCCTGTGTCACTGTCTCCTTCTTTAAGTCTGTCTCAGTGGCTCCCTCTTCAAGTCTATATCATTCTCTTCCTTTAAGACTGTCTTAGTGTCTCATCATTTAAGTCTGTCTCTTCCTTTAAGTCTGCCTAAGTGGCTCCTTCTTTAAATCTGTCTCAGTGAAGCGTTCTCCTTTAGGTCTCACTTCCTCCCTGTCTGTGTATCCCCTTCTACTTTAAACTCTAAATATCTGTTTTTAATGTCTTTCATTGTGTGTCCTATTACTGCTTGTCCTGTTTCTGTCTGTCTGTTTGTTACTCTTACTGTGTGTATTTCTTTCTTAGCCTCTGTATATTTCTATCCTGTCAGTGATTGATTATGGCCTGGGACTGCTTACCGCCTCAAAGAGTCAGATGGACAAACTAGAGCGCATACAGAACGCAGCTATGCGGGTAATTCCGGGTTGCACCAGAGACACCCCAGTGGTGTGTATGTGATACATCCTTGGTTTGCCGACTGTTGCAGGTAGACACAGGGTGCTTCAGGCGAAGTCATATCTCAGGGTTGCTGCAGACACAGACCACCCTTTTCACGAAACTCCGGGTGTAGTTGAGGTTCAGTGGCTGTTAAGAGGGAAGTCATGGATGACTCAAGCAGAAGACACAATCAGACAGGTTTACATCCTTGAGAATATTAGATGAAGAGAAGAGTGGGTCAAAGTGACACCTGAACAGTCCGACTTGTATAGGGTCATAATCACACTGAGCCGGGAATGCAGAGACTGGCCATCAGGTGCCACAGAGATGGAAATCCAGCAATTAATTCAAGATAATGCTCGCTGTGGAGGATGCGGGTGAGGAGTATTATCTGCATTTTTTCGCCGGGAGCGCGGGTGTGTTGGGAAATAAACAGGTGGACAGACTGGCTGGCTCTGCACAGCTTGGTGGAATACTGATGCATGATATGGCAGGCGCGGTTAGTGCCATGTGGGAGAGCGTGTACATTCGGAGGAGCAGATGCATCACCACAGTCTGGTGAGATTGATGCAGGGGGAAGTGACGAGAGGTTCTGGCAGATGCTCGAGGCTCAGAGAAAAGGCAAGACGGAGGTTCAGTCAGAATGCTACTGGCACCATTAGTATCGGAACTCTTCACTGGCTGCTGAAGATGGAGATGAAGCGCTTATGGGAATGCCCCGAGTGCTGTGATGTCGGCTCTTGAATCATATCAAATCTATCCTTGTGTTTATTTGTTTTACTGCTTTGAACCTGTGACTGAGAGACAATGGGTTTCAGAAAAAAATATGAAACAGTGGTGGCGCATAAAACAGGATGAGAAATAACCTTCTACACACTTGTGGTCTGTCCCTGTATCATCAGTTGGATCGCACTGGTCCTGTATGCACATCCGACTAATTTTTGCCTAATGTTTTTGAGCTCTGAACACTGTAGTATCAAGCATCACCTCCCACATGTATCTGCTGTTTCCCTTTACTTTTCAGTGTGTACACATGCAGGGCAGTGGGAAATATGAGAATTTTGACGTTTGCTGATGTTTTAGTCTACAGAGGAAAAATAAAACAGAATTATGTAGAGAACTGCATGCCGTGGTAGACAAGATAGTGGTGGGGTGAAACAGGTCCTACCATAAATCCAGATGAGGGAGTAGTGATTGTTAAATAATAGAATTGTTAGAGAAGTTCCAAACATCACAGATAGTAGTAATCTAAAGAGAGAGAATTCACTAAGATATCTTGGTATTCAGATAACAAAGTGAATGGGGATTCCAGTGGAATCACCTCATCCGGTAGGGAGCATCATGTTCTACGGGTTATTCCCGACCGTCATCCAGCTACTGTAGAAAAAGTAAATGGTAGAAACATCATGAACATTGGTACATGGAATGTCAGAACACTCGTACAAAACGGAAATTTGGAAAACATTAAGATGGAAATGAAGGTATTATTTTGGATCAAAAGAACTCAAAAACTGTGAAAGGATTTTGGACAATATCAGATAGAGTACTATTAGTAAAACTTCGCGGCAGACCGTTTGACATCAACTTAGTACAGATTTATGCCCCAACAGCAGATAGTTCAGAGGAAGATATTGACGCATTTTATCGTGAGTTAGACATGGCTGTTGATCAATGCAAAAATTGTGAAGTAACAATGGTACTTGGAGATTTCAACGCGAAAATAGGAAGTGAAAAAGTGTATGGAATAACGGGTGGCTATGGCCTAGGAGAAAAGAATGTGAGAGGTGACTGATTAATAGGATGGGCTGAGTCACGCAGCATGATAATAGGTAACACCTGGTTTAAACACCATCCTCGAAGATTGTGGACTTGGAAAAGTCCTGATGATAATGTCCGCAATCAGATTGATTATATTTTGATTTCAAGAAGATTCAGGAGCAGCTTAGTTGGAGCAAAAACTAGACCAGGAGCAGGCTGCTTTAGTGACCATGTTTCAGTTGTAGGAAAAATTAGAATAAAACTAAAGAACATTAGAAAAACACCACAGAACATCAAGTTAAATTTAGGAATTCTTAGAACGAATAAAGAAATTAAGGACCAGTACAATGTCACTGTACAAAACCGGTATAATGCAATGGAAATTGTACAGACTATTGATGAACAGTGGGATATGTTGCGTGAGTCAATTCAGCAGACATCTAAAGAGACAATCCCACCAACCCATAGAGTTGCAAAAAAGAAATGGATGTCAACCGAAATTCTGCAGTTGATGGATGAAAGAAGGAAGAAAAAGAATGATAAAGAATACAAAAAGAAATAGTGAACAAATGCAAAGTGGCTAAAGAAGCCTGGCTGAATCAAATGTGTACAGAGATTGGGGAAAATCACAGGAAAGACTCACATTCCATGTACCAAAAGATAAATATGTTAACAGGAAAGATGACACGCAACAGCACTGGATGTCTGAAATCAAAAGATGGTGACTTATTAATGGGACATAGTAATATAATTAACAGATGGACAGAGTATATAGGGGAATTGTATGATGATAATAGACCATATGTAGAACTGAAGACCAACAATGATGGCCCACCAATAATGACTGCAGAAGTTAAGGATGCAATACATCAAATGAAGAAAGGAAAAGCACCCGGGCCAGACAACATCTCACTGGGAGATTTTGGAATTGAAATAAAAACTAAACTTTTAAATATTTATAATAGTGGGTATATTCCAAATGACTTTTTAAAATCCATATTTATAGCTCTGCCTAAGAAATCAGGCACTATAAAATGTGACGACTATCGCACAAAAAGTCTTATGAGTCACATGACTAAGATTTTACTGAAAATAATTATGAGAAGAATAAGAAACAAAATTAAACCAGAAATCAGCGATGAACAGTGTGGATTTGTAGAAGGAGAAGGTACAAACAATGCCATATACATCATAATTACATTGTCAAAAAGAGCTATATAAGTAAAGACTGATTTGTACATATGCTTCATAGACTATACAAAAGCATTTGACCTGGTGAAACAGAGGCATCAGTGCAAGCGCTGATCAATAAAAATTCAAACATTGGGTCTGTAGTTGGAGGTAAAAAGAATAGGTGCAAAGTCCAATGTGTGGCCATTTTAACAAGTTCATAGAGCATGCTTTGGAAAATAGAAACTGGCATCCTACATTTAGCGAGGCTTGATAAGACTTATCATAAATTTTCTGTCCAGGATATTAAGGAGTGCAGGGTAATGAGCAAGCTGATAGACTGGCCGATACTGCTTGTCGGGAAAGGGGGGGGGGGGGGGGGGGGGAATTGAGCTAGGTCATGATAAAGCAGAAGTGGTGAAGGCTCTCTGGGATCAAGTGGGCAGTGCAACCAAACAGACTACAGATCAATACATGGACTAATTCAGTCAGGATCTGGAAGATATTTCACAGTGAAGGAAAAACAAAGGCAGAATTATTTTAGTCAGGTTGCAACAGGCACTATTAGCATATCGACTTGTCATTGGGGACTTGTCATTGGGGACTGCCGATGGAGCATTGTGAAAATGTCCTGAGTGCAGGGAAATCAGTTGTTCATTCATTTATTCAGAGATAGAGAGTCAGTGCTGCACTCACACATGATCTGGTTCTGTCTTATCATTGACAGGAAAGTATGACCTTGTAGCTAAGGGGTCACTGCTGTCTCTGGACACCGACAGAATTGTGGTCAAGCGTGCTGTTCTTAGTGGGGCCCCTTTCAAGATAAACAAGAAGTCTGTTGTGGTCAGATACATGTTCTTTAATCGAGGTACAGTCTGTTGGCTCATGTAGTCTCAGTCAGGTTCTAGCTTGTGTACCTTGTTACTTGTGTATCTTATTGCTTGTTGAATATCTTGTTACTTGTTGTGTGCTAAACTCACTCTGCTGTTCAGTTGTACCAGGCATCAGAGGCATGATCGCCTACTTTGGTCATGGAGGTGCCAGATGATGAGGGTAGAGGTGGGTGGCAAAAAGTCCACACAGGTAGATTGAGAGATGAATGGTTCTTAAGTTTAACGAGAGACTGCAGATTCATGCTTTTTGCGTGAGTCATGAGTGGGCAGAGGCTGGGCTGGAAGGAATACGTGGGTGTATAGTCAGTGCTCCTCAGTTTGTGATAGAGTTTAGACATGTGTGACTTTTAAGTGTAATCGGGTGTATTATTTTATTCTGGTTGAAGCTTAGATTGTTTTTGTAGAATTTGGCATATTCTTTGAAATGCTCCAGTTAAGTGCAGCTAATGGAGACAAGGCGTTGCAAGCCCAATATCTCTTTATGATTCAACTGTGATTTAATTGTTCCTGATCGCATTGGAGGCTGATTGTGACTGTGGTGTGGGAAGTGAAGTGCCATGGACATAGCCAGCCTCTAGTCAGCTTTTACATATAGGTTATTGGTGACCCAAAGTGTGGGCACTGGTGACCCCAGGAGGGAGCCGGTAGGCGGACAGTGTTGTATCTGTTTTGTGGACTCACATCGTCAAGGCTATGTGTCACCCTTTGAGGTGGATGTGGTTAGCTGCTGACTGTTATCGGTGTTAGTGGTACAGTGTGACTATGTGAACTGTGTTAGTTAAGCACTCTCCAGTAGGGAACCCATGTAGTCGCCAGGACGTTTACTAGGAACTTGTGTATATACGGGTGACGCGTTAAGCATTCAACCCCTAGACACTTCACCACACTTTTATAGCTAGTGTTTCTTGTTACTTGTATGTCTTGTTGTTTGTATCTATTGTTATTTCTTGTATATATTGTTGTATATCTTGTTACTTGTATGTCTTGTTGCTTGTATATCTTGTTGCTTCCTGTATATATTGTTGCTTGTTGTATATCTTGTTACTTGTAAATCTTGTGAATTGTGTGTATCTTGTTACTTGTTGTATATCTTGTTGCTTGTATATTTCTTACTTGTTGTATATCTTGTTACTTGTATGTCTATTACTTGTGCATCTTTTATACCTTTTTACTTGTATTTTTTTGTCATTTGTATATCCAGTTATTTATAGTATATTTTTATATCTTGTTGTTTATCTTGTTGCTTGTTACATTGTATTATTGTATGTCTTGTTGTATATCATCTTGCTTTTTGTATGTCTTGTATATCTTGTTACTTGATGTATAGCTTGTTACTTTTTATTGTCTTGTTGCTTGTTGTATATCTTGTTACTTGTATATCTTGTTATATATCTTATTACTAGTTGTATATCTTGTTGCTTGTTGTATATCTTGTTACTTCATAAATATCTTGTTCTTTGCTGTATATTGTTTAACCTGTTTTTGTATCTTGTTACTTGTTGTATATATTACACGCATGTGAACTACCTTCTGAATAAAGGTGCATGGGATATTCCTTTTACATTTAAAGGAGTATGAAGAAAATATTTAATAGCTGGTAATTTTAATGCTTGATCAAAAGATTGGGGGAAAACAGACAGGAAGTTGCACTGAGTGAGGCCTTACTATGTTACATTTAGGATTTTATTCTTTAATATAACCAATGTTTCCGGATTTTGTTGTTGTTGACATTCAAGGAAAGTCCCTGTTTTGCACTCTTTAGTAACACTTTTTTTTTATTGTGTCTAATAGCTGTTGCAGGTCTTTTGCATTTTCAGCTATTAATACTCTATCATGTGCATAATGAAGATTGTTTATAGTAAGTATATCTAGGGCTGTACCAAAAAGCGATTTTCACTATTCGGCCGAATTCGAATAATGGGACCAACTATTCGGCCGAATACGAATAGTGTATAAAATATATCTAAAACAAAAACAAACAAAAAACATTCATAATGTCAAATGTACACTAAACATTTACTTCACATAAAGTAGCACAGAATAGTCATCTTCTTCTTTAGCATTCTGAGCCCTTGAGGTTTACTGCTGCATATATCACTCGTCTCCATTCATCACTCTGGCTGGCCTTCTCTTCACAATTTGTGACACCAGTTGTTTGCAGGTCTGTCTGGACATTATCTCTCGAACTTCTTTTTTGTCTGCCTCGTGGTCTACGCCCATTCCTCTCTCAGGTGTATACAGTTTTACTTCTCTGTCATCTGACATTCCTCAATATGCCCCAACCATTTTAGTCTATTAGCTCTCATGATGCCAGTGATCAATGATGACTTAAACAGATTATGTGTTACGTTGTTGCTTCTCACTCTCCATTCCCCGCTGTTAGCATCTTTGATGGGTCCAAAGATTTGTCGTAAGGCCTCATCTCTTTTATTTCTGCTTCAAGTTTCAGAGCCATATAAAACGACTGGTCTTATCAACGTTTTATATATTTTGATCTTGATGTTGCGAGACAGCCACTTCGACTTTAGCAGATGTTGAAGGGCTTAGTATACTTTATTTCTAGATTGTATTTCTTCTCTCAGCATGTTGGAGCAGTTGCAGTTTGCACCCAAGTACTTATATGTTTCTGTTCGATTTTCATACTATCGACTTGGATGTGGCTGGAATTTAAATTCTTTCCATGTCTAGTTAGTATTCGTACAGAATATAACATTTAAAAACATTTTTTGTTTTGCATCCTTCAGTCAGTCTGTGATAACTAATAACTAGGAATGAAAGAATCCTAAGTTTTATAACAAATAACTCATCTTAAAAAATGTCACTGACAGTTTAATTAATGCATGAAAGCTGCATTGGCTTTAAAAAAAAAACACAAATTGTTTCATGTTGTCAGTATTAAGGCCGTGAATGCAGAAGCGGGTGTAAGGTAACTGCTATTGGTATTCAGCCCGACCGTAACTATTCAGTCGAATACCGAATAGTCAATAGGTCCACTATTCGGCCCCAAAGCGAATACGAAGCAAATATTTGGTACAGCCTTAATTATAACCTCCAACTAGTATTCCTGGTCTATCCTTGACCTCCCTCATTATTTCACTATAGAGACCGAGGAGATCCGGTGACAAAACACATCCTTGTCTCACTCCTTAACTTTGTCTGTTCATAACTGCCTACTTTATTTCTCAATTTAAATGTTGCTTCTTACAAATGTACAGGTTGACAAGGACACTTGCAACAGCAGTTTCCATCAAGTCATTATCACATTAGAAAGAGAATTTAGAGAGTGGTATAATGCCATGGCCGAATTACACCTTATAAATAAAAATGCTGGGCTAAATGATGCAACAGTGTACACCAATGGTTCTGTTCATCGGGATGTAAGATTTGGCTGGGGATTTTTTAGCTAGAATGAAGAGAGAAATCCTGGCAGAACAAATTGGAGCTTTTTTTATCTATAACTTGCAGCTTGAGGATAGGGGTGGATGCAGTCACTGCATCTCTGAGGTAGATAGCAGAAAACCAAGTTACCAGAGGAAATTATTGTGTCTGATTCTGTCAGTACCGTGGAAGGTTAAAAATGAGTGGATGCAAAGCATCAGTGCGCCAACATTGCAGGGAATCACGTGGACATACTGTTTGAGACAAGGAGTGCCAGTGGATTTGAGAGCAAATATTTTTGTAATTCTTTTATTTCTTGCTTACTTACTTACTTAGTCGCTCCTCTTCTACCTTGGGGTGTAGAGGTTTGCCAGAGAGATCGCCAGACGTCTCTATCAGCAGTTTTCTTTCTGGCTTTGTTCCATTCCAGTCCTCTGTCAGTCAGGGACTGTCGGATGTTGTCTTCCCAGCGCACCCTGGGTCGTCCCGGAGGTCTGGTTCCCTGGTTCTTAGCCTCCCATGCTTGCCATGGTGGCCGATTTTCTCCCATTCTGCACACATGTCCAAACCATCGTAACTGTGACTGATCCACTCGGGTTAGTAAGGGCTGGGTATCAAGATCTTGACGTATTGTCTGATTGCGGACTTTGTCCCTTCTTGTCACTTGGACCACCTTTCTCAGGTATCTCATTTCCGAGGCCTGCAGCTGGCTTCTGTGAGCTGTTGTCATTGCCCATGACTCACACCCATAGGTCAGGACTGGTACATAGGTAGAGCGGTAAACAGCCATTTTCGTTCTCTTGCCAATTTCTCTTTTGCTAAGAAAACCCTCGGTTTATGGCCTGGAAGAGTCTCCCAGCAGCTGCTTTTCGTGTAGCCAGCTCAGTCTTAATGCCTCCATTTTGGTCTAATACAACTCCAAGGTATTTGAACTGGTTAACCTGCTCCAACGCATACTGACCCATCATGATCTGGTGTTTCTTCTCCTCTCTTGAGATCACCATGGTTTTAGTTTTGGAGACACTGATGGTCATCCCTTTCTTTTCAAGCTCTTCCTTCCAGACAAGTAAGTTGGACTGAAGGTGTGCCTCTGATTTAGCTATCAGGGCCACATCGTCTGCAAAAGCCAGCTCTGATATACAGATTGGTCTCATCTTCCAGTACCCTACAGAGTACTTCTTTGTCTTCTCCTTACAGGTCTTGATGACATCATCCATCATAAGAATGAAGAGGTAAGGTGAGAGAATATCACCTTGTCTAACACCGCTGGTGGTCTTAAATTCTTCTGACTTTTGGTCTGCTGTTCTTACATAATTTCTGCACTTTTTGTAGAAACTCTGTATTGCACTGATCAGGGGTGCTGGGATGTTTTTCCCTGCCAAGCAGTCCCAGAGCTTGTTCCAGGGTACCTTGTCAAATGCCTTTTCCAGATCCAAAAAACATAAGTGAATCTCACTCTTATATTCCAGGGCTTTTTCACTCATCTGTCTCAGTGTGAAGATAAGGTCTTGAGTACTTCGGTTTGCTCTGAAGCCGCACTGGGCCTCGTCCAGCTGTGGCTCTACCAGACTTCTAAGTCTCTGCTCAAGAATTCTAGAGTAACTTTTACCGGGAATGCTGAGGAGGGATATGCCTCTGTGGTTTTCACATTGTCTGTTATCACCTTTTTTAAATATAGGTATAATGATGGCAATCTCCCAATCTTTTGGTATAGTTTTGCTACACCAGGCTGCCTGGAGAACCTTCAGTAGAAGCTTTTATTTCTTGCACGTCTTGTAACTCTTGCATGTCTTATTGTATGCCGTGTGTATCTTTTTGCTTGTAAAATATCTTGTTACTTGTGGTATCTCTTGTTATTTATCTTGTGATATACGCAACCAGATATATCCCTGAGTGCTAGATGATCTCTCTGTCTTTTATTTATCTTGTGATATACGCAACCAGATATATCCCCGAGTGCTAGATGATCTCTCTGTCTTTTATTTATCTTGGGATATACGCAACAGATATATCCCTGAGTGCTAGATGATCTCTGTCTTTTATTTATCTTGTGATATACGCAACCAGATATATCCCCTATTGCTAGATGATCTCTGTGTCTTCTGTTTGTGTGCCTTCTACAGAGGATGTTGATTATTACAAACCAGTAGAGCTGAGGACTAAGTGGGGCAAGAGAGGCCATATTAGACAAGCTCTCGGTAAGTTGACAAACTTTTAGAAACTTAATGTGTCTTTTATCTGACACGTTTACAGACTTTGGGTAAGTCTTTTTTTGACAATCTTTTACTGACTTTATGTGTCTCTTTTATCTGACAAACTTTTACAGACTTTGGGGTTCTTATATCTGACAAACATTTACAACCTGGGAGTCTGATATCTTGACAAACTTTTACAGATGTTGAGCAACTATCTGACAAACTTTTAGACTTTGGGTGTCTTATATGTGACAAACTTTTTTTTTTAACAGACTTTGATCATCTTAAACATAACAGATTATACAGACTTTGGTTGTAATCTTGCCCAGGTGTTATGATTATCCATGCAGATGGCTCGGTGTTAAGAGAAAGATAATGTGCATGGGTGTTCATAGCTATTGCGAATGGACATTGCTAATTGCAGCAAAGTCTGGCACTTGATGGAGTGGTATCCAGGGTAGAGTGTGAGCATGGGGTGGTATCTAGGGGAGAGTGAGCTTGTGGCGATATCCAGAGGAGAGTGAGGGTGTGGTGGTATTCAGGGGAAAGTGAGCATGGGGTGGTATCTAAGGTAGAGTGAGCTTGTATCTAGGGTAGAGTGAGCATGGGATGGTATCTAGGGTAGATTGAGTTTGTATCTAAGGAAGAGTGAGCTTGTATCTAGGGTAGAGTGAGCTTGTATCTAGGGTAGAGTGAGCTTGTATCTAGGGTAGAGTGAGCTTGTATCTAGGGTAGAGTGAGCATGGGGTGGTATATAGGGTAGAGTGAGCATGGGATGATATCTAGGGTAGAGTGAGCATGGGATGATATCTAGGGTAGAGTGAGCTTGCGATGGTATCTAGGGTAGAGTGAGCATGGGATATCTAGGGTAGAGTGAGCATAGGATGATATCTAGGGTAGAGTGAGCATGGGATGGTATCTAGGGTAGAGTGAGCATGGGATGGTATCTAGGGTAGAGTGAGCATGGGATGGTATCTAGGGTAGAGTGAGCATGGGATGTTATCTAGGGTAGAAAAAGCATGGGATGGTATCTAGGGTAGAGAAAGCATGGGATGGTATCTAGGGTAGAGTGAGCATGGGATGGTATCTAGGGTAGAGTGAGCATGGGATGGTATCTAGGGTAGAGTGAGCTTGTATCTAGGGTAGAGTGAGCATGGGATGGTATCTAGGGTAGAGTGAGCATGGGATGGTATCTAGGGTAGAGTGTGTGAGCCTGGTGTAATCTCTAGGGGAGACTATGTCTGATATGGATACCAGTGGCTGAGAAATGATAAGTTGATTTGTTTTCTGTACAGGCACTCATGGCCACATGAAGTGTACATTCAATGGACAGGTCCGATCTGAAGACACTATCACCATGAGCTTGTATAAGAGAGTATTTCCAAAGTGGAGCTTCAATCCACATGTGAACATATTGCCTCCACACATAGAGAGGGTAGCAGATGAGCAGGAGCAGGAGACACAAGCATTTCAAATGTTTGACAATTAACTTGTTTTAAACAGTGATTTTGTTTTAAACTGTGATCATATATCAGTTATATTGTCTGCCCACAAGCACTTGGTGTATCTCTGTTCTTATCTCTAGTAGCTGTGGATATGTTGTGTCTGTGCTACCACCAACCTGTAAGTGTGTTGTATTTGTGCTACCACCACCTGTAAGTATGTTGTATTTGTGCTACCACCACCTGTAAGTGTGTTGTAATTGTGCTACCACCACCTGTAAGTGTGTTGTATTTGTGCTACCACCACCTGTAAGTGTGTTGTATTTGTGCTACCACCACTTGTAAGTGTGTTGTATTTGTGCTACCACCACCTGTAAGTGTGTTGTATTTGTGCTACCACCACCTGTAAGTGTGTTGTATTTGTGCTACCACCATCTGTAAGTATGTTGTATCTGTGCTACCACCACCTGTAAGTGTATCTGTGCTACCACCACTTGTGTGTTTGTTGTTTCTGTACCACCACCACTGGTAGCCATACTTGTGTGGTATTTGTACCACCACCACTGGTAGCCATACTTGTGTGGTATTTGTACCACCACCACTGGGAGCCATAGGTGTGTTGTATCTGTGCCACCACCACTGGTAGCTCTAGGTATGAACATGTGGACACTGACTATGAGAACTGACAGTTGGGCTCAACATTAATTGTTATGCAATATATTAGTCTTGAACTGATTTTTTCCCCTTGGATTGTGTTAATTTGTGTTATACTGAATGCAGCTTCATATGGACTCAAGAGATGATAATATCAGTGTCAATAGATTAGCTTCTGATAATGTGCATGTATCTCTTTTGCTGGTAACTGACATCCCATGTCACAAATATCTTTAGTATTTTTATTTTTTTTATTTTGGGTATTAGAGAGAGAAATCTGTTTTCATAGTAGTATATTATTTGTCTCTGTGAAATACAGAGCATGAGAGATCTACTTTTATAGTAGGTTTTTTTTTTTTTTTTTTTTTTTGTATGAGAGAGAAGTAGAGGTGCTTTTTTGTAGTAGTAGTTTATGTAAGACATGGAGAAGAGAGCTGGAGAGCGAGGTTAGAAAGATTGGGAGGACATGGGGAGAGCTCCATGCAATGGCGAAGGATAGAACGACTTGGCGTGAGTTGGTTGAGGGCCTATGCTCCATTGGGGGATAGAAAGGCAGAAGAGAGAGTTTATGTAAGAGAGAAAGATTTTTCTCTGAAGTATTTTATGTGTGAGAGAGAGAGGAGTTTAAAGAGAGAGATCTGTTTTTGTATTATTTTGTCTGTGATGTATTTCTGTAGTAGTATTTTATGTGTGTTTGTGTGTGTGAGAGATGTATTTCTCTGTGTGTGTGTGTGAGAGAGAGGTTTTTTTTAGTAGCAATTTATTGTGTGGTTGAGAAAGAGATGTACACATGAATCAATTTTTAGATGACACCTACATATTTGCAAAGCCGTCCGGTTCAAGGCTAGTTTATAATAAACAGTTTAGCCACAACAGCTGACTATAAATATGAAGTTTACAGGGCAAGCTGGACACCTGTCAGAGCAGGCTGCTGATCATAACTGGTACCAGACGGGGCTGCCTCCCATCACCAATATCCCATGATATCTTCCTAACAAAAAATAATGACCACTACTATGGGAATGCCATCATGTGCCTGCCCAGTTGGTGTAGGTGCTCATGCATCTCCACAGATCACGATCCCTGGTTACAGTCCTCCTTTCTAACAGCTTAAAGGATATAGACAGTTAAATATTGTCTGTCAAAAGCAAAGTGAAGATCAAAATCTGTTTTTGAAAGAAAAGAAAACTAAAATAATGTCCATAGATAAAACTGGCTGTCACTCAGAAATAGCAATAAATGATGATAGCAATGGAGACTGTTTGACAGAATTTAAGAGGAGGATGGCCATAGCAATGCAAAGATTAAACAGCATCAAAAGTCTATGGTTAAGCACAAGCAAGGAGATCGAAATTAGAATTCTGAAAGCATGAATTTTCTCCGTAGCAACATATGGATGTGAGTCGTGGACTATCTCCCAGTCCTTAAGAAAGAGAATAGGAGCTTTTAAGCTGAAATGCTATAGAAAGATTCTCAGAATGTCTTTGACAAAGAGGAGAAATACTGACATCTTGAAAGATCTGAACATCAAAGAAGATTGGCTAATAAACAGCATCTTGTCTCGTAAGCTGAAATTTTTTGGTCATATCAAGCGCCACGACGGATTAGGACAAATTAAAGTAGAAGGTATGGTACCAGGAAAGGGGGGGGGGGGGGGGGGGGGGACAGGGACCGTCCAACTCGAAGATTGGCACAGGATAGTGTCTCCTGGAGTATGAAAGTACATGAGGCGGTAGAGCTGGCGAGAGATCAAGTTTCTTTCAGGCAGACCGCGATGAGAGCGACGTTCAGCACAGGACCTTCTACATCATGATGATGAAAACAAGAGAGGCCAAGGAAAACTTGGATCCAAAATCTGGCAGAGCTGAGGTTTGAAACACATCACTAGACTTGGCTAGTCTGAGGGTCAGCAACAACTGTCAGAGTGTTATAGGACCATAGCTAGAAGACAGCAGGCTGGGCATGCTGAGCTTTTGTGTGTAGCTACTAGTAACTGTTTAAACTAAAGTCATCATCATTACCCTCCTCGTAACTATCATCAACTGCCTGGTGTGGGTGGTCATGCTTGCAATCTCCAGCAGCATAAATCAATCAAGTCTGTGAGCTGACAGCCCTACATGCCATGACCAAAGGCTGCCAAGAATCCTCCTGTGTGTCTTCCTCTGTCTCTCTTTTCAAAGGTATTGCCAGTTGTCACACGTTCCATTTTTGTAAATTTTCATAACGTGCCTCCGTATGATGTCGGTGATATATTGTCCTCGCCTCTAAAAACATCTGAATGATTCTGGCAGTCCAATTAGTTTTGAGCATTCTTCTTTGAACCATTGTCACTGTGTCCTCTACACTTGTCTTAGACTGCCATTATCTGAGGTAACCACCCTGGCAGATCTCAACCCGATCCACAGGCTGATGTTTCTGTCTGCTGTAGACAGTGTCCCAGTAGACTGTCTTAGAGCCTTGCCCTAATTGTCCTGTCCTCTGCCAAGTGATGACCATTGGTGATGCAGACACAGCCGTTGACTTTGTGTTTGTTACCCAGTCAGCAGTGCTGGACACAAAAATGAAGTGTCCTAGGCGACCATGGGAGTGGCTATCCGCCATGCTCAGTCTTGATGTCTAAGGTCGGCAAGATTAGCGCTGTTAAAACGCATACGACTTTTTAAGTGTGAGAGGGTTAACACCCTTCGTGGATGCCTTGGACAGAAAGTATGCAACAGAACCACCAGTTCTGTTTTTGTGCAGTAACCAGGAAAGTGAGGAAGACACAGCAAAGTTTACATGAGGAGGTGGAGAATGCAGAGCGAGTTAGAAAAGAGAAAGTATCAGAGTGAGGAAGACATCAAAGGTTACAGGAGGAGGTGGAGAATGCAGAGCGAGTTATGAAAGAAAATATAGGAGTGAAATCGCCGTGCAGCACATGAAACAGTATTTAAATGGGAGCATTTTATGCATGAAATTGGAAAGGATTAGTCATTGGGAAAATTCTGAAAGCTACACCGAAATACGTGATGAAAGATCGGCATATAATAATAGACAATTTTACAGAGATTAGGAAATGTCCATGATAAAAACGGTATGCCCAGGATAACAAAGAGAAAGTTGAAGCGATTTTACAGAGATTTATAGCACAAACTGATCATAAGGAACATAGAAATTCGGTCACAGGTCATCTGTTGCACGCAGTAAATGGCAATTATTATCAAGATGTCGTTCAAATAGAGGATATAAAATAGCATGAAAAAAAAATACTGCGCCGGGGCCAAAGGGAGTCAGGTATGCCAACATGAAAAACGTGAGTGATAAAGATTTCGGGGAGAACACTTTTCATTTCACCCAGAGCATCAAAACAGTGTTAGTACCCTGGGATTGAGTACACAGCTACCTAATCCCTCTTCCAAAACCAGGCAAAGATAATTCAAAACTAGGCGGCTTCAGGTCTATCCCTCTACAGAATACTTCTGCCTTCACGACAAAAGCGAATGGACGACCCTTATCGCAACAAAGTCTTGCATATAATATCAGAACATTTAGTTTGAGACTGGAGATAGAGCCGGTCACTACGCCCTTCCTTCAGCTTGAGGTCAGGTAGAGACAGGTGTGTTTCGGGCAGAGGGGCACGCATCGCTTCAGAACTCCAGGGTAGTCAGCAACTTTCGTATTTTTTCTCCAGAGTATGCAGGTGTTTTGAGAAACGAATAGACTTGCTGGTTCTGCATCAATCAGTGGTTAACTGCTGCACGACAAACTATATTATCAAGGCCGTTTGAGAGGAAGTGAACAGTTCGGAGGGACACTGAGATGACCATGGTCTGAATAGAATGGTGCAACGAGGAGTGGCTAGGGCGATGTGGGCCGACACTTCACACTAAGAGGAAAGGCAAGACAAATTTATACATCACACTGTTACTGGTACGATCAGAGTTAGAAAACTTCTTCACGCTGGACTACGCTGAATCCTCCCCAGAATTGCTTGTACTTCCAAAACCCAGGACTCAAAATAAATGATAAAACATTGAATCAAAACATTTTCCTCCAAACGCCGCTTCAATGGATCTAAAACAACCCTCTCCCCGGCGCTTAATCAAAGGTCTTAACATCGTTGTCTTTCGTTCACTAACGGCAGAAATGGAAACTGATGATGATGGCCTAAATGCTTTTACTACATAACTTATTGAGGCTCTCAAAGGGAAGTTTTTGGCAGTGAATAATTTGGGACCGGTATTCGGAAGAGTGCCCAATTGTCTTTAGATATAACTTTCGCCCCCACAGTCTAAAAACAGGACTGGACGACAGTAGTTCCGTCATACTGTATATTTATTCGACAGAACACAATAGGGTATAGGTATACACAAGCTCTCACATCAACAAAACTACAGAGACGTAGACATTGATC